GTCTGTGTGGCTGTGTGGCTGTGTGGCTGTGTGTCTGCGTGGGTGTGGGCACGTGCCCCGCGTGCGTGCGTGTTGTTGTTTCTCCATATTCGTTTGGAGGTTCAGGAAGGTTGGAGAATGGAACTAATGTGAGCCTTGCAGAAGCTGCTACTCAAAGATCAATGGCGCTCCCAACTAAGTTCCAAGCGCAGTCTGCCTAGATCCGCTCTTGCCTCGAAGGACGAGTGGGGCCTTGTGAACTACAGCGGTGGGCCGCAGTACGAATACGAAGGGACGGTCGGTGAGATCCCAGGGACCCTTGCGCTGCACTTGCGGCCTTTGAAATCTCTCCATGGTTGCGTGGAACGGTGATGGATGTTACCTCAATCCCTACGCAGCCCATGCCAACCCTGAAACCAGCGAAAGCTTAGGTGGGGAACCGCGCGCTACAACTATGCCAAGCCAGAAGTCCAGGCAAGAGAACACAAAGTGTTCTTACTGTGCATTGTATATAGTCAATGCCCCAGCTCCTGACCGTCCGAGCTGTTCTGGTCGGGTGCGGGAGGGCGGCGGGACCGCGAGGGGAGGACCACGAATTGACATATATGCTACATTATATATATATATATATACATATTTATATTTATATGCTACACATATATACATATAGAATATATACATATATCTATATATAGATATATATACAGCATGCCGGAAACAAAGCTCGGTGCTTTTGTTGCCAAGTTCTGACAATTTTGGGATAGCTGCAGGCTACCTTGTCCAGTTCACTGCGTATGCGTGTTTCGAAACGGGCTGAGCAAGGGCAAGCATGGACCCTAGCCCAAAAGCACAGGCATACTTGCTGGGCGCTGCTCATCACTGGATCGAGCACTTCCACATTGATGGACTCCGAGTCGATGCTGTCGCAGCCACCCGGTGAGCATCCATGGTACCTCCGTGTTACATTGCTGACTGGCAGATGACATGTGCGACGGAATCATCTCTTGCCCAACCCTCTGGATTTTCTCTTCTGATTCAATGCGCTTTGCGCTTGGAAGCACGCGGCTGAAGCAGATTCCTCAACCGCCACGATAGACCCACCATGTTGGTGGTTTGTTGGCTTCAAGATCTTGGTTGTCTAGCTACCATTGACTCAAGCTCCCCGCAATGTGTTCCAGGAGTTCTTCCGAAAAGCCCCAATTTAAGTGGATGAAAAGTGGCCACAGCCTGGTTTGCAGCAGTTGGCTTTGCGAGGCTTAGCCGTTCTGCTCACTCGGTTTATGAGCAGTTGAATGGAAGCCAGCCTCCTTCGTACAGAGTCATTGCAAGGGCTGCTATTATGCTCGACTCGTCTGAAGGCGATTATCTACCGCAACTTCGGGAAAGAGGAGGATGGCGATGCCATCATGGCCGGAAAGGCCAGGGCCTTTCTTATCGGTATTATCGGCTGTGGCATCGTTTGTTTTTATGCAACATGTCTTCTCAGGGCCAGCTGAACGAAGATGGCATCGCCTTGCTTCGCCGGCTATGCGCTGAGGCTGTGTGGGGAGTTCTGAAGCCCTGCGCTGCCCTCCAGGACTTGAACTAACAGATCTAAGGCCCTGCGACTATGCTCCACAGGCTTCAAGGTGTCTAGAATGTTGTTTTCTTTGGGCTTCTTTCAGGGTTATACACACTACTCTGGTGTACATGTAGTGGCATAGTGCAAGGCAGCACTTGACACCACGTGCCGACATTTTTTTAATTTAAGCCCAGCGAGGTGCGCTCGCGGCATCCGGGCGTCATCCTTTCGGCCGAGGAGTCCACGAACTTCCGATGGGCGCCTTGTACCAAACTGGAACTCCAGTTGTTTCTGTTCGCCTCGGATCGGCCTCGGCCATGTTGAGCATCGTCGCTGCAAGCTCGATTTGTGGCTGTGGGCAGTCGTTCCGTTCCCAGCGGAGATCAGCAGTCAGCAGAGAGGCCATGCGGCTGATGGGATGTTGCAGACTTGTAGTGACTAGCTACTGTTAGCAACTAGGTTTAAAGGAAGCAAGCTTGCAACTCAGTAAATTTCGGTTGTTTTCGGCGCCTCCGAAAGTTTGTCATAGTGTTTTTCCTCATTTTGCAGTAAGGTGACGGATCGCCCAGCCGAGAATGGCACTGAGAGGCAGCGAGTGGCTCGGCTTGAAGAGGTACAGGTTTGCAGGTCGCTGGTGTGTCATGGTGGTGTCTTTTCTACATACAGTGTCTGGAATGGTTGAGATGGATGTGAGTTGAAGATGTACTTATTGCAACGCCGTCTGCCTTGCACCACCCCCCTCCCCCCTTCCGGGTAGTCTGGACAGCTTGACCCGCATTGCCAAAAAGGTGGAGATCCGAGATCTGGGGTTCCACCTCAAGTGGAACATGGGTTTCGTCTACGATGCTCTCTCATACTTCGGTGCGGACCCAAAAGAACGACCGCAACTGAACACCTTCGGGTGGAAGACGTTGGCATGGTATTTGGCTTATGCGTTCAACGAGAGATGGGTGCTCCCGTTCTCTCATGACAACATGCAGCCGAAAAGCTTGCTAGACCAGATGACACCCATTGGAATAGCGGGCCTCGAGGGCAAGTTCGCGCAGCTTCGTTTGCTGTTCATGCGCCTCAGATAGAAGTGCAGCTTCTGTCAGATGTTATTCTTTTCGAACCATATGACCATATGGGTGATCCTGCACTGGTCGATTCTGGGGCAATGCCGCGCAAAGGTACACCGTCGGCATGCCGGGACGACCGCTCATGTTCATGGGCTCAGAGATCGGTGGCTTGGCATCCTGCAGAACATCAGTGTATAGCGTATGGTGAGTTTATCGTGTTACGGGCCTAGAAGCCATGTTCGTTCACTCTGCAGGTGAAGGCTTTTCCTTGACTAACCCGATTGACTGGGAGCTTGCAGCCATGGACCCCAACAAGCAGCAGCACCCTGGCAAAGATTGGCAAAGTTTGAGACCCCTAGAGGGGCAGAACTTGGCGTGAAGCGTCGAAGAGTCTAAGCACTGCGAGCCATTCGATACTCCGAGACGATGCCCACATATTACATGCCCATGTTTAAAGGATGACTTTCACTCGCCCGTAATAATATGATCAGGCATGCGAAATGTGCGCACAATAATATTAGTCTTGCTATTCGCGCACGAACTGCACGCGTAAACACTGTTCCTCTTACTATTATTGGTAGTATTAATACTACGAAGAGGAACAAGTGAGTTTATGAAGTGATTTCCACGATGTCCATGAACGAATAAACGAAGTGCCTGAATGAACGAAGTGAACGACTTTACAGGGTCTGTCATCAGTTCTCTTTATATGCCACAAGGCAATCGTTTAATTTGGGTGCTAAATTTTGCGCCAGCTGAGTTGTGGTAACAACTGGCCTTTAAAATAAAACATAGGTCAGTACATTCCGCATTAGTTGTCTTATCAGAGCAAATGGCCCGATGACCAATCATGCTCATAGTTGTCTTGCTCCCCCCCCGCCCAATTTAATGTTGAAAACCGTGCGTCCGTTTAGTCCTTATCTTTCCAGTACTAAACTGTCTCGTCTTTTCACTGGTTAGTAATAAACGACTCAGAAGAAGCCCGTGAAGATAGGAGGTGATCGGTGAGGAAGAGTCCGGGAGTTATTACCGTTCAACCGCTGGTGATATAGCTAGCCTAACTAGAAAAATACCATGACATTTCTTGAGTACGTATCTAATTAAAGGGCCAGTCATGGACTTCGAATTTACTCATGGCGATGTACGTTTTTGCCCGTAGTTCCCGCCAAGATGAACACGCAAATATCCTACAACGCTTGATTGGCACATGTTCTTTCATTTGAATTCTGTATGTTCTGATTGCAGCTAAATTTAGAAAACATGAAGACAGCAGCTACTGGGACAGAAAGACAAACCAGAAAAGCGTCCTAGATTCTAGGAAAAAACACACATTAAATGCCGGAACAACCTCCAACAAAATGCCCAACAAAAAGCCATAAGCTTTCAAGAGCTCCGAGGACCAGTTCGACACTACTTCTCCTCCAAGAGTTCCCGTTTTTTGTTGTTTTGGTTGTTTTGTTGTTGTTCTTTTGGGAATGTGTTTCTGGTGCTCTGGTATTTTCCTGCTATGGTTTTTCTGGCATTGTTTCTTTTTAGTATTCGTTTTGTTTGCCGTGGCTCTGCTACCAACAAAATGCAATGGGGTTGGAATGGATCCTCTGCATTTTTGTGGATGGCAAAACTAGCAAAAACGCCGTGGGTCGGTTCCATCTGTTGAAGTCCAAGCCCATATGCATATGCCTCTTCAATACCTGAAAGCAACCCAAAACCATTTTAAACTCACAGAATTAGCTTCGACTCGGGAAAACTCCTCCTGGTTCCTCCAAGCCAAGGTTGCGCAGTTGGGTGGCCAAGCTCATGAAGCTGCTTGGGCTCTTCAGAGATTCGGACTTGTGGCTGGTCAGGTTTTCCGCAACACTGACTTTTTGGTGGAGCATGCCCCATACGCACTCCGACGCTTGCTATGTGCATAAACCCTGGTTCATCAAGGGCATTGGCCTGATACATGGGCCACCAGCATTTTTTCTGCACAATCTCACGCTGGCACGCAACATACATGTATTTGACAAGGGGAGACCACCCAATCTCACGACTCCGCTGAATGGCAGGCTATATCGCCAGCTGAAATGCCTTCACCGGCAGGAGGACTGTGCATGGGCTCCGGCTAAACGCAGCACATGTCGACATTCGCGAGAAACTGGATTGCCATCATCTTGGCAGAACAAGCTCCTGACCAAGTCCAAATTGCTGAACGTGTTGATTTTTCTGTCACTATGAAGGACCGCTCAGACGGATTCCACTGGCTCGACGCTTTCGCCTTGATGGCATACATTTGCGCTCCCGAAAGGGCTTTCTGCAGAACTCCTTGCCTTGGTTGTGGCTCCCGCTTTATGCAGCGGCACAGTGCAAGGTACAGGGCGGAAGGTCGTCTGACATGAAGGTGAGTTAGCTTGTGCCGAAAGTTCGCATACAGACGCTAGCTTCGCGCCCCTCCATGCAAGCAAGCATGAGAAACTGGATTCAAACATGTTCTGCACGAAGTGACAGACAAAAGGGGCCGAGAAGGAATCCACTTCTTGTAATTGCACCCTCAAATGTGCCCCCACCAACAGATTCAGAGCGTCACACTCGCGCTTCTGAGGACAAGGATTTTAGCAGCCGATGCGTCTATGCTTGGAAGCGCCTGGCCAAAGACGAGCCCGAGGCAACTGCAATTTCTTTTCAGATTATCTGCAGCTGCGTCACCCTTGTATGGTGGCAGGTAGGTCCCTTCTACATGCAGCCGCAGTCGTGCAGCGAAAGGATATCAAATTGGATTGGAAAACAAGTACACCAAACAGCTAAGTGTCGCCTCGCAGGCTGTCGTCGCAAGTCACGCAGAAGTGTCAGAACCATTCAAATATTACAAGGCCGTTGCACCGAGCCAGCAAGAAGCAAGACTTTCAAAACAGAGGTGCAAACCCAAGTTCGCTTTTGCACCCCTCCCCCCCCCCCGCATCAAAAACCCGTCAATCATGGACGTTGTCGGGGGGCACCAGTCATAAACCGACTGCATGTAAAGTTGCGAAGCTTCATTTGCTTAGCTCCTAGTGGAAGGCCCTGAAAGCTGCTCCGAGCTCTAAAGACTCGAAGCTCTCTGAGCACGCCGAAGAAACACGTTTCTGTTTTTCAGGGGGCGGCTGGTCAGAAGCTTTTGGAGGATCTTTCAAGGCTTCAAAGAAGTTCAAAGGAGCTTCAAGGTCTCGAGGGTTAAGAGGGGCTTCAACAAAAAAAGGGCTTCAGTAGCTCTAGTTCCCCACGGCGCGGACCCAGTAAGCATGAGACGCCCCTCTGCACTCCGGCACTTTCAAAGAATGTCAGGACCCACAGGGTATGACTGTTTTAACGGAGGGGGGAGGGGCTACGCGGCGATGCTAATCAGGGTCAACAAATGGCTGTCTCGGTTTGTCCTTTGCGGACTTCCCGATCCTACTGAGTGCCAAGCGGCAGGCCATTATTGTCATCAATGCTTCCATGACGCACATCAGCCAATACTACGTCAACTCCGGAGACACTTCCGGAGCTTGGAAGTGCATGGCTGTGCCTCGCTCAAGAGAAGAGTCAAGTATACTTCTTGAAGTTGCCCCCTACTTTGGCCCTGCTTCTTTGGAGAAGCTTGATCTTGGCCCTTTCGTGGCGAGTGCGTTAGTTTCTTCTCTTCGGCAAGGGTCAAAATGGACATAGCTCCCACAGCCATGTCGGTTTTAGTGTCGCTCCACTTCATGTAACGTGCCAGGAAAAAGCTTGCAAACCCTTCAAATCGACCCTCACATTGACGAAGATCTATATTCCCCGAAGCAAAACGGCTCCAAGGCCACAGCTCTGGGCGACTGCATGACCACACCGCGCTCTGCGCGGGTGGTGCTGGGCCGCGCGAAATTTGCAACAGAGCCCTGGCTCGGGTTTACAGGGTTTTGCTGTTCTGTTGGTTTGGGTATTGTCCATACTCGTAGAACAGCGAATGCATGTACACGAATATATACCACGTATATGTATGAATGTACGCACCGCATGGTTGATGTAGTCACTCCTAAAGTGCTCCTTGGATCCGCAAATGTGGGTTCGAGTGAGGCAGAGCAGAGCAATTTGGGCTTCCATGCTCCGGCCGTCTCGGGCCCCTGAACAGGAGCTGCCTCCCATGGCCGCGCAAATCTGGGTGCCTTGCGAGTGCCAGCGTCTGGGTGCACGATATGTGGGGGACTTTGGGGCTCCTCAACTCCCCAAACGCACCAAATCTCCAAGCTCAAAGCCGAGCTCCCAAGAGCCATGGCCATTTTGACATGTGATTACTTTACCGTTTTGCCCCCGTGCTGCGACATTTTTGCCGGCAACAAACTGTAAAGCAACCTGGACTACATCCGATCGCCTCCCCCCCCCCCACCCGCCCCTTTTGTCTCAGGCTTCGGAACTGAAACCAAGAGGGATTTCGGGGTTGAGGAGTCTCCACGCAGGTTCGAGATTGCATGCAGGCTTCAGGGCTTACAGGGTTCAATCAAGGTTCAATGACCGGCCCACCCCCATCATAAGTTGACTCATGGATGGCCAAAGAAGTATTGGTCTAGTCCGGTTTCAGGTTCTTTTGGGGATGGCAATCAGAGGCTATGGTTCTTTTTTCGCATTTTTTGTTTTTATGGTCTTAGGTGAGAATAAAACCCTAAACCCTAACCCTAAACCCTGAACCCTGAACCCTAAACCCGCCAGAAAAGGAGTGAAGGGTTGCACAAAAAACCCTAAACCCGAAACCATGAAACATTCGAAAACAAAAAAAGCACGAAAAAACAACTCGGACCGCAATCAGAGGCCAACATGAATCAAACTACTACGACTGAGGGAAGCGGAACATGAAGTGGCCGTCCTCAACTTCGAGGTCCAGCACAAGGCTAGGGCCAATAGGGCTTTGCTGCGCAGGTGACGATTTTTTTCGGTGGACTTTCGTGTGGAGTTGTCGTTGTCGTTGTCGTTGTCGTTGTCGTCGTCGTTGTCGTTGTCGTTGTCGTTGTCGTCGTCGTCGTCGTCGTCGTCGTCGTCGTTGTCGTTGTCGTCGTGGTCGTGGTCGTTGTCGTTGTCGTTGTCGTTGTCGTTGTCGTTGTCGTTGTTGTTGTTGTTGTTGTTGTTGTTGTTGTTGTTGTTGTTGTTGTTGTTGTTGTTGTTGTTGTTGTTGCTGTTGCTGTTGCTGTTGTTGTTGTTGTTGTTTTGTGTTGTTGTTGCTGTTGCTGTTGCTGTTGCTGTTGCTGTTGCTGTTGCTGTTGATTTGCTGTTGTTGTTGGTGGTGTTGTTGTTGTTGTTGTTGTTGTTGTTGTTGTTGGTGTGGTTGTTGTTGGGTTGTTGTTGTTGTGTTGTTTTGTTGTTGTGGTTGTTGGGGTGTGTGTTGTTGTTGTTGTTGTTGTGTTGTGTTGTTGTTGTGTTGTTGTTGTTGTTGTTGTGGGTGTTGTGTGGTGTTGGTGTTGGTGTTGTGTTGTTGTGGTTGTTGTTGGTTGTTGTGTGTTGTTGTTGTTGTTGTTGTGTTGTGTTGTTGTTGTTGTGGTTGTGTTGCTGTGTGTTGTTTTGTGTTGTTGTGTGTTGTTGTGTGTTGTTGTGTGTTGTTGTGTGCTGTTGTGTGTTGTTGTGTGTTGTTGTGTGCTGTTGTGTGGTGTTGTGTCTTGTTGTGTGTTGTTGTGTGTTGTTGTGTGTTGTTGTGTGTTGTTGTGTGTTGTTGTGTGTTGTTGTGTGTTGTTGTGTGCTGTTGTGTGGTGTTGTGTCTTGTTGTGTGTTGTTGTGTGTTGTTGTGTGTTGTTGTGTGTTGTTGTGTGTTGTTGTGTGTTGTTGTGTGTTGTTGTGTGTTGTTGTGTGTTGGTGTGTGTTGTTGTGTGTTGTTGTGTGTTGTTGTGTGTTGTTGTGTGTTGTTGTGTGTTGTTGCGTGTTGTTGTGTGTTGTTGTTGATTGTTGTTGTTGTTGTTGTTGTTGTTGTTGTTGTTGTTGTTGTTGGTGTGTTGTTGTTGTTGTGGTTGTTGTTGTGTTGGTGTGTGTTGTGTTGTGGTTGTTGTGTTGTGTTGTTGTTTGTTGTTGTTGTGTGTTGGTGTGGTTGGTGTTGTGGTGTGTGGGTTATTTGTGTGTTGGTGTGTGTTGGTGGTGTTGGTGTTGGGTGTTGGTGTTGTCGTTGTCGTTGTCGTTGTCGTTGTCGTGTCGTTGTTCGTTGTCGTTGTCGTTGTTGTGTGTTGTTGTGTGTTGTTGTGTGTTGTTGTGTGTTGTTGTGTGTTGTTGTGTGTTGTTGTGTGTTGTTGTGTGTTGTTGTGTGTTGTTGTGTGTTGGTGTGTGTTGGTGTGTGTTGTTGTTTGTTGTTGTGTGTTGTGTTGTTGTTGTTGTTGTTGTTGTTGTTGTTGTTGTTGTTGTTGTTGTTGTTGTTGTTGTTGTTGTTGTTGTTGTTGTTGTTGTTGTTGTTGGTGTTGGTGTTGGTGTTGGTGTTGGTGTTGGTGTTGGTGTTGGTGTCGTTGTCGTTGTCGTTGTCGTTGTCGTTGTCGTTGTCGTTGTCGTTGTCGTTGTCGTTGTCGTTGTCGTCGTCGTTGTTGTTGTTGTTGTTGTTGTTGTTGTTGTTGTTGTTGTTGTTGTTGTTGTTGTTGTTGTTCTTGCGTGTTGATCGTCAAGTCAACTCGTTGATTGGCCCCTGTTTGTATCGAGAGCTTTTTGGGGGTTCTCGCAGATTTCTAAGAGAAGACAACGCAAAGCAACATCGAACAAAAGCGGTTAATAAACCCACAAGTCCAGCCACTGTTCGGCGCAGTCTGGCGCAGGATACAAAGCCTGGGGATGAACTGCTCCTTTGGCTATGTCTTGTTTTTCAAGGGGTTTCAGGGTTGGGGCTCAACGAGGCATAGGGCATGCAGGGGGCAAAGGCGTGACCCTTGCAACAGCATCCGGAGGACTGGAGACAGCGGTAGGGGCAAAATTGCAAAAACGAAGAATGGTTTTCCCCAAAACGGCGCCGCTTTGCTTAGGCGATTGGTCGGCAACTGCGCCGAGCTCGGGTCACTTGGTATGGCACTTGGGACGTTCTGTTTTGCCGTCTGTGAAAAATCTGGAGTCTAGGGCTCCAGCATCAAGAAATTTCTGCCGTCTCGTTGCATCGGCCTCCGTACGGGTTCAGGGCTTGATTAGGCCTTTGCACGCAACTGGATGTTTTCCAAGCTGCCCGCAGCAGTCATCTGGATTTGGGTGGCCTCCGGCCTATAGAGTAATTGGCAGATCTGAGACCACGGAATCCCAACACCTCACCTGTGCAAAGGAATTGGACTGTGTCGGAGGGCGTCGTCATGGAGACAGACGCTGAGTCTTTTCCATTCTGGTCGCTGGGCAAACTTTCAGCCGAAAAATCGATATGTATAGAAGCGGGTGTGCAACTCTACATCCGTGTAGCATGCATTTGGCTTCCTAAGTACATTCCCAAACCCGACCTTGGCGCTTTTAGCCACGGTCTGTTGTTCTCAACCGCAAACTTTAGGACCTTAGGCCCTGCCAAGCTGCTTCGGCTGCGGAGAGACGTTTGTACCCTCGCAGGCACACGTCCATAAGAATTCCCTCAGACATCCGCACCCTTGAGTTCAAGATGGTTGCGGCCAGGAGCTCAGGACACGCCCGGGGCTTTTGAAGGTCCTTATACCCCTACAAAGCACAGGCTTTACATAACTTCTGAACAGTGGAAACTGCTTGACACCCTGTTGTGCAAAGGGCATTATGGAGGGCACGCGAATGCTGCAAGCCCAACCGGTCTGAGTCCGAAATTGAGGGCCAGCGGCCAGCCTGACTGGGCCCATCGAGGTCTCGTCTTCTGGCAAGGAGAAATGGGAGCCTCTGCACTTCAATCGTGCCTTGGCGGAATTCTCGGGTGTAGACATGTTTAGGATCAGCCTAGCCCCCATCTCTGCAAACCCTCCGGGCCGACTACACAGCACCACAAGACCGCCTTCACCGACTGTATCCTCTCATTGTTCTGTGTATATTATGATCTTCTGAAATTCGATTGGCCCTTCCAGGATGCGTCAGCATCATCCCGGGACTGGTGGAGCGGGTGACTTGTGAGTTTGGACAGGTGTAGAACGCTGGTTTCTGGCGGCCATCTCACGAAAGTGTTCAGGCTGCAGGAAATTGCATGCGATGACTGTGCCTTTCTGTGGAAGAAGGCACGGTGAGATTCGGGTCTGTCTCAGCCGGATGGCTTCAGTTTGTTGTTGAGTCCCTTTCCGCACGAGGAGCCTAGGTGAACCAGAACTCAGACCCGGGCTGACGGGGTTCATGTGCACGTAACTCGTGCTTGTTCCAAAGCTGCAAGACCATTTGCAGCAGCAGGCGCTGTCCATCGCCTCATGACAGAGAGGCAGATCAGATGGTGCACAACACGCCGCTTTCTTGTCATGTTGGGGCGGTGCAGTGTCAGGTGACATGGAATCTTCAGAAACGGTTTATAACGATTCTTACCTTGGGACCTTGACACTGGCCATGAGATGCATGAGCCCATTCACGTCGCGATGCCGTTCGTGGTTCGCTACAGGAGTCCCTGTGTAGCGAAGTCTGAGAGGCTCGACATGGAAGCCCCGAAATATCTTTCAGTTCCAAGCTGTGGAGGTGACTTTTCAAACGCCGGCGTCACTTTGCAGAAGAAGTTTTGAACATTCTCATATGTCCTGATCATGCCGTGCACAGTCTGATCGAGGAAACGCAGGCGGACGACATCGTCGCAAACTGCAAAGACAGGGTGTATAAGTGTCCGGTACGCGGCAAGCAGGGTTGGGTTGGTGCGAGGTTGGGCTAAGATCCAAGGTTGAAGCAGCCGGCATTGGCTGTCACCGCTGTCACCACGCCTCATAGCGCATCACGAGCTTCACCGTAGCTCGTTAGACTGTGCATCACGGCCCAAGGAGCAGGAAGCAAAGATGCGAGTGGGCCTATTGCGGCGCCGCTGTCGTATCCATTCTAGAGTGCGTCTCCACATACTTCTGTTCAATCAGTAATCACGACTGAGGGAAGGGTAGGATGCAACGCTTTGGGGCGAAGTGCGTCAATTGCATGTTCTCCGTGCCATGAGTACTAGTAGTTGTTGTCGTCGTAGTGGCAGGTATAGGTAGTAGTGGTAGTATAACTTTATAACCGTCCGCCAAAATGCCGCCATACTGCGTTCTGCATCGGTGGGTTGCAGCTGGCGCACTCTCGCCTCCTACCATCAGTTGCTGACTCACATTCACGTCCCATCTCGGCTGCGACAGCTTGCGCAACGCAGTCTGCTTACAACAGGCCCATGCTTCTTGTAGTGCTGTTTATCACAAGGTTCCCGCGTCAAAGGCGCGCATGCATTAAGCATGACAATGTGCCCAGATTCAGACGGACCTTCCTTGAGACTCAGAATCGTAACCTTATTTCAATCTCACTGAGTTGGCGTGGTACTGCGCTAGCATTAATTATTAGGCACAGCTGCCACGGTTCCATCTGAAGTCAACTGGCCGCCAGTGTCGCAGAACAGCGAAGCCATCGCCAAAAATGCTTTGCTTTCTGTTCCACGGACTTACGGATCTAGGTTTGTATGCGTGCATATAGCTCCCAGTGTGCCAGGACTTGTTTGTCGGGGCATGGAAAGCATGAAGCGACATCCTACTGTCTTCTACAAGAATGAGTCCAACTCATGGCGAAGTGCGGCTTCCAGGTAAAGTCCATATGCAACTATGCCATGTACAATTGTGTACAGTCCCTGCATGTATCTATGGGTATACAGGTACGTATATGCATATATGGCTCAATGATCCGCTCATATCTTTGCGTGTTTTCAAGATGCTTTCGAATCGGGCCAGGGCTGGTCTTCTCCGACAAAGCCTGGAGAGTTGGCCTGGGCCCGAGTGTCGCGTTGATGGCTTTCGGGGGCAAGGGCTTCCCACACTTCGGGGCATTTAAATACTGAGATTGCCTAGAAATCAGGAAGTGCGGGGAGTGCGCAGTATGGGCAAGCAAGCATCAAATGCATCCAGTTTCTGGACAAGCCGTCCATCAGGCACCGCAACTCATGTTTACGGCGTTCCATCGTGAACACAATACATGGGGCCCTGATTGTAAGTTGGGAATTGGGGCAATCCGCAAAAGGCAAGGACAAATAATCACCAAGACTCCGCCGTTCTGTCAGCACTGGCCCAAACCATTGAGACGTGTCCCGTCCGCTTGCAGGACAGCAGGGGCTTGCTTTGAGCCCGGATTGAGACGCGCGTTTTTAATTTTTGGTTCTGGTCGAACGGCCTCTGATCATGCTAGACTCGGATTGAATCAGCGGTTCACGTATGTGCGAACCAGAGGCTGGCTTCCGAATCATGGTGTCTGAATCATGGTCGGAGGTCCAACCCCCGCCCCTCCTCCCCCCGCCCTCCTTGCTTTCGCGCAAGGATGTTGCCGCGCGCGTTTGCCTCGCTCAGACCTGGGCTTGGGCGCTCACCCAGAGCGCTTCGCCACTTCTCAGTCGCCCAGCTCAGGGGTTGCCGGGTTCAGGGTTCACTGTGCTTGTTTTTCGGCTTAAGTTCTATGGGAGTAGGGGAGCTTCAAGATTGACACCTTGCTCTCCGAATCGTTGATCAAGTTCTAGCTTCGGCAATCAAAGCTGCCACAGTTACCACGCAGCACTTTGGGTATGAGACTTCGGTAGATCCCCATTTGGTGCTGTAAGCCATGAGAAAGAACATTCTGTATGGCTGCTTCTTTTTGAGAAGCCACCTGTCAGGCTGTTACCTTGCCGGCGGATTCCAATCAAGCGCAGGGAATTGGTCAGTATGCCAAGGAGCAATTGCTGTCGGATTCATGAGCCATATGTAAGCTGCAAAGCGTACCATGAAGCAAACGTGCGGGGACCGGCACGGTCGGAGTGCGTGGCGCTCCTTGCTTCCCATACTTCACCAGCCATGCCCAACCCTTTGTTTCTATCGTCCGCTAAAATATCGCTCATGCAAGGACCTCATAGATGGCAAGTACGGTGACAACGTGGATGCTTCTGTGTATGAGCGTGTGGAGATGTTCCACACAGACTCCGTGCGGTGCTGAGACATGGTATCCGCACATGATGCTGCCACACTGCCACGAGTCTCGAGTGCATCATGGTGTGCAGAAGACATCTAGGTTGGATTTGGGACCAAGAGATTTTCTGGCACCGCAGTTCTCATGTTCCCCGCTCTCTTTACGTACGCTCTTTGGGTCTAGCTATATCAGGTTGTCTAGCTGATAACAGTATACAATCGTAGTAAAAGGTAACTGGCAATTTTTGTGCGTGTTGCAGACTTTCGGTGACATGTTTAAGTTCGAGTTCAGGTCCCACGGTCTGAAGCTAAATCCACTTCACATGCCACGTTACAATGTGCGTCGAGATGTTCGCGACGGAAGCAGAAGCATGAAGACAGCGCTTTTCTTAAGATGAGGCAAGCTGCAAGTGTTAGCGTTCTTTCCTGCCTTGTGATGCGTGCAAGCACCTGAAAACCCGGAGACTCGTCAGATCCCGAAAAGAGGCCGAAGTCCAGAACCACAACAGCACCTGGAGCCCCTATGTCATGGTCAAACCTCTCGATCCTGATACCATGACCTAGACCCCATAGCTTCGGTGGATCAGGTCATGTGTGGTATCTCAGCCCTGGCGTTGAAGACAAATGCTCCAACCTTGTTGCGCGAGGCGGATTTGTTGTGGGGTTGGATTGGCTTGCAGGGGTAAGGAGATAAGGAGATAAGGAGACAAGGAGAAGGACCTAAACACTCGGAGCTCATCAGGTCGCAGAACATATACACATACTGTTCAGCACGGTGCTGGTTTTCCACCTGTCCGAGGTTCTGCGCAGTGGACAGTTGAGGAGAGTGTTGTATGGATCCTAGGTCTTTTATGGTCTGCGTTTTGTCTCAGAAAGGCCGGCTACGGAAAGCACGTCCCGTGGAGTTTTGCGCATGCTTGAGCTGGTTTCGTGGGGTGCCCGATTGTTCGCCATCCCTTCACTTGACATGAAACTATATTCTTTTTGAATTCCATCCCTCGAGTCTCTGAAGCCTGAAAACCCAATGTAGTCCCACCCTCAGCGCTCTCAGACTGAGCAGGAAGCACTCACCTACAAGGACCCACAGGGAGCCACCGCCTTTGGCAGCAGCGTCCCTTGGCTAGCATCGGTTTTCCTGCGCGCTGAGACGCGAGCCTGGCAAACAGACACACAAACAGGCACCCCGGATTCTGTCCTCAGTTCGAGTGTGCTTGGGGCTTGATGAAATATTTTTTCGGGTTGGGGGCACCTCGCCCATGTAGAAATACCCGCAGGGTCATGACCTGTAATCGAACATGAACGATACTGAGTTTTAAGTTCAGACTTTACTTCCCAGGAAAAGTGCGCGCCGGAGAAGGTCATCGCTGCCAATGCCTCTGCCGCACCTTTGTCGGCAGAGTAGGTGCAGAAAGTGGGAGTTTTTTGTTCGGCTGCCTGTGGCTTGCCATGAAAGGGCACATGAAGAACGACACGTAGACCATGCGCATGCTGAAGTGCCCAGCTGATCATGCACTCGGCAAAGTCATAGCCACAGCAAACACACATCTCAGCATCCCAATATCCTCAGTTCAAGAAACTCCTCCCGCAGGTGCGGGAGTGGGATTCCAATGGCACCGTCTTCGGCCTCCAAGCTTGAAGAATGTGTGACCACGAGCTTGGCACTCCCACAGTCTCTGAAACACCAGGCAACTGCGGCCTCGTACTCAATAAGGCTTCAACCCGAAGATCCCTGGGCACGAAGCAGGCAGCTCGTGGGATTTGGGTGGAGCTTGGGCTGGTTCAAGGGATCTCGAGAGCCAGGGTGCCTACAGGGGCGCTATAGGTGGGCAAGTTTTGAGATCGACTGCTGCGAGTGCAATAGCAGCGGCCGTAAATAAGACCTGTTGACCAGGCGAGTTTGGCCACAACGATTTCTATCCAGTCGTGATGGCGGCGGCACAGGTGCACCCATCGACGTGTAATTACTCAGGGAAACAGACTATGCCTGTCCGGATTGTTCATGGGGGGGGGGGTCATGATGGTGCGCAATTCGTGCGCCGTTCTAATGTCAGCGATGTTGTTGTTTCAGCCGGGACCAGACTGGTGTTCCTGGGCACATGCGGACGAGGTTGTCCTGCTGAACTTCAATCACTGCCAGGTGACAGGCAAGGTGGATGGCAAAAAAGCGCTGCTGGCGATGCTTGGCACGACAAGCAAGGCAACTGGAATTCAGCTGTGGAACATCTTCGGAGCATTCCCGAACACAAGTCCACAACTCAGTCGCTGTTGTATTCCAATCCGTGGAGTGCTCGAGCAACCAGTGGGGAGAGGATGGAAGGCCTCAATGCCCTCAACTTAGACTGCCACAATCTGTCTAAAAGTCTAAGTCTAAGCCAGGTTTCATAATTCTATACAAATGTGAGAAGGCGCAGCTATCCCCTTATCGAGAGGAGCCCCAACCCCACATACCCCGAGCTGTTTTTCTCCTGATGTCTCGATCGCGATAGCATCACAGTTGCTTAGCGAAGCCCCCGACCCGTAAGCAGGAAGCCTGAAGCCCTGCGTCGGGACCACCTTTCGGCGACTTTTTATTTTCAGCAGCTGTGTGGACAATAGCTTTCTTGCGTGCTGCACCCAGGATGATAGCACTCGATGAAATCCGAGGGCGCCTGGCAGAGGCAGGGCCAGGATGGGTCCACAAACAACTTAAGGCTAGAATCTTAGAATGTTAATTTTCTGCACAAGCTCAGACTGGTCGAATGGTTTTTTCTAGCAGGGGCTGGTGGCTGGCGTCGAGATATGTCCAGGCTTGTGCCAACTTGTGTATGCTTGTGCGCTGCCCCAAGCCGGGGTTTCCTCGAACCATGGTTTTTGTTTGTGTGATTTTCGGATTTTTCAGCTCAGCGCTTCGCCGAGAAGTGGCAGGGAATCCAAAAAGAGAGAGCATCGAAAGTTCTGATGCAGCCATGCAGCTGCTACTGAGTGTGAAGTTGAGACAGGGTTTACTTGAGAGTGTACAACGTTTCAACCTTTGTTTAAAACGTCTACAAGTTTACGCATCAGGGCTCTCAGGTTTCATGTTCTGCTTGAGTTGGTGGTTTGCGCGCGTGCCAATGTGCCGATGAGCATGCGGCTGTGAGTAACACGCAGCTTTCCTGGCGAAGGGAAATGTCAAACAAGCCCAGGAGCCAAAGTCAATGGCTTCAGATTTCAGGTTTTCTGTTGTTTGGGCTGTCTCAGAGCGACCTCGTCGCCCAGTTGTCCAACATGTTCCCTTTGTTTGCCACCGAAGCCCCTACTTCCAATCTCTAGGGACAGAGAGCTACTTAAAGACAAACCGTTAAGTTCCCCAGCTTTGGCACCCTTAACGACTGTAAGAGCGCGGCGAAAACTGTGCCAGGTATTCAGCCTCAAGAGCTGCTCGGCGGGAGCCTGGGGAGCTTTCAGGCTTCTTTGAGTTGATGAAGGCACCAAGTAGTTGGAACCCTCGTGGGGCTCTGAAGTTGCGTGTTTTGGTTGAATGCCCTTGTTTGTTCTACTTCGGGAGTCTGGGTGCCCATCGCAACCCACCAAATCAAAGCAGGAAGGGTGGTACCCCCCCCCTCCCCCATTTACCAGTGAGCATACCTGCAAGTTGCCTGCGCAAAACGGGGATGTAGGTTATTGACCGTCCCATAGCTTCGCAACTCCAGCCTGCCTGGCTAGCCAGTTTGTAACCATCACGTGCCTGGGGTGTGCGCCGTCATGTTCCCTGCTGTGCTCTGTTCGGCTTGCGGCTGCATTCTGTGGAAGAGCCCGGGTTCACTTGGTTTTTTCTATTGAGCCTGGGCTGCCTGTAGCGGGGTACAAAAAGTGTTGTTTCCATGTCTCATCTTGAAGCAGCGCTCTTAATGTTTTTCAAGTAAAATGGCCGGCAGCTGATCATGAGAGCCTTCGTCGCCCGAAAGCTTGCTGTTCCTTGCGAAGTGATTTGGAATCGGTTCTCTAGCATCCTCGCTCAGCAGCTCTCAGCAGCTACAGTCTGCGCTTGCACAGGGAATTTCTTGTGGACACCGAGCTCTAGCCAGCTGCGCATCCAAGGCTACAAGATCGATCACGTTGTGCATGGCCTCTGGGCTGAGTGGATGCTTTGAGAAGCTTTTCAGGGAAGCCTGAGACCTGAGGGGTTTTGGGACAGTAAAGGCCACGAGAGAAGGATCACATGGATCCTAAATTGAGGTGCCATTGCCTCAGCCGCTGTCTACGGCGCCTTGCTGGGAGCATCTGTTGACGAGCTTCTGGGACGAAGTCCTTGGGTGTTGCTGCGTTGCTTGGGATTCGGATCCAAGAGCCGCGAGATGCCAAAAGTTGTCCAAGGGCTACGTCCGGAAAAGCACGGACTTTCCCTCGCTTGCTGCGTTGCTGTTGTTACATGCAGGTTCATGATTGCGGGGCTTTTGCGAAACTACATGTTTCAGCTATGTTCCTGCGACTTGAGCATGCGTCATAATTAGGCGAGTCCAGGTCCTCTTGCCAGTTGTGTGCGCATGTCTGGTATCATTTCCTCCTTGGCTCTGCTGGCTGGGTACATGCAAGAAATGCTTCCAAGTTTGCCGGAGGTTAGGTGCCATCAGAGTTACGCTGTTGAGCCGGCTCCTTTTGCGAGGCCCGAGGCCGTAAAAACGGAAGGTGAAACGTAAGCACCAGAAAGCCTGTCCCCATCTAAGCCAAGTTCCTAGACTCCTGCTCTCCCATGCCACAAGGATCGAGAGTGCGATCGGCATGGCTGTGGCGCATTACATTCCCTTCCGCGCCATCCGCGCAGGCACCAGCCTGCACCAGCCTAAATGGTTAGCCCCGAGCCCAAGTCTGCAATTGCTTTGCAAATGCTTGACGCTTCTACTTTAACCCGGCCACATACCTGTAGTCTGCAGAGGCCAGCTGTCCGTTCTTACTTCTGGAAAGGTCCCAGGCCTCCTCCCTTTGAATCCTCAAGCTAGCTGCGAGCACAGCCTGGGTCAGATGGCAGATGTATGAGCCTATGTGCACAGCTGTAGGCAGCATTTGGAAGCCGGACTGCAAGTTCCAACCCCCAAAGAACCACAAGCATCTCAAGCTGAAACCCCGTGGAGAGCTTATGAAGGCTTATGAAAGCTAGAAAGATGTAGCTTTGAAGACCACGCGGCTCATGTGGCAGCAAGAGGTGGACATGTTGAACCTAACATGAACCTTCCAAGTCTGCGAATGCGATGTCTCCCCACTCGAACATCAGGACCCTACAGGGGTATTGCTGTGGCTTTTCGACATCCTGAAACTACCATCCACGTTCAATCTATCTTGTGTCTTTACGTACTTCTTCAGTTCGATTTTTCGACTTTTTTTGCAGCTGTTATCTCAGGATTTTTTTTTGCATGTTATGATTGCTTTTGTCGTTTTATGTGTTTTTTTGTGGTTTTTTTTTTTTTTTTTTTTTTCTCTCTCTCTCTCTCTCTCTGTCCCTCCATCTCGCTGCCTATGATGGTGTTTCTATGTCGTACGTTATAGTGTGACGTGAAAGCAAAATCACATCCCGGGAACCCCTTAGGCACTTAGTGGCGACACACTGTTTGGGGAATACATGTGTGTACATATTTATTTATTTGTATATCTCTCTCTCCGTGCTTGTTGCGAATGATGGGTGCACACGAGCACCACAGTAGGAGCTCGAATCCCCAAGCTCTAAATCCTGTGTGTCCACTCTGAAGGCAAGCAGCTCTCCGACTCCAAGGACCGGCTGGCTTGTGTAGGGGAACAGCCGGAACAGCCCTTAGTTCTCGGAGGCCCTGAGCCCTTAACCATGCAGAGCCTGCAGCCCGAAATCTGAAGCCTCTGGTGATCCCTGGCATTGCTCCGGCCGAGAACAATCACTAGGACCACTAGGAAGCTCGAAAGAATCAGGGGGCATCGGCTGCGATCTCCACGGAGGCCGCAGTTTTGGCCATGCGCCGCGTGCCTCGGTAGAAGTCTTGGGCTGGGCGGGTGTGCGCAAGTCCGGATACAATCTGTTGGCGGGGCTCCGCATTTCGAAGGGGTTTAAGTTTACATTTTTGGGCTTCGGCAGTTTCGCGTGCCAGGGATTCCTCAGGGCTGGGAGCACTTGGGAGTTTAAGTTGCCTCTTCCGCAAGGTACTCCTCCCATCGGATCCTCCCCAGGACCTTCAACCCCCTGGAACTGGACGAACCTCATATGCTGACCAGTTCCTCAACTGAGCCCTTTATGCTGATATGATTGCAGACGACATTAATTTCTGGAGAAATGTAGATGTTGCGTTTTCATTCTGTTTCCATGTTAATTCGCTCTAGATACGCTTTAGTTAACAACATGAGATGGACTCCACGGTTTCAATTGCAAATAAGATCAGTGAGCAATGGGAGCCAGTCTTAGGATTGGAACTTCGTAGCCTTGTCCCCAACAAATCTCAAGCAAATACCAGTATCATCCCGTTGTGCACACGTATACCTGATCCTGCCCCCCACCCTACCCAACCCTAAGTCGGACTTGATGCAACTTCTTTTCCTAACTAGAGCCTCTCGTAGCTTTAGCGCCCTTGCAGTCAATGCTTTCGGCACGTGGGCCACGTGGGTTTTGCCATTGAATGGGTTTTGTGGTTGTGGGCTTAGCTTGTTGCCTGCACTTGGCTTGGGCAAAAGAAGAGGGTGAAGACACAAAGTTCTATGTACAGACGATTGGCTAGAAAGACCCTTGAGCCTTAGCTGTCAAAGACTTGCGTCCTTCAAAACAAATCGAAACACGTGCCTCGCGAAAAATGTTGAGGCGTTTGAAACCTCAGGCTGTGCTTACTGTGCACTTTGAAGGACGCCTGTCAAGGCCTGTCAAGCAGCATTCCAAGACTTTGCCCAGGCGATGCGCGGCTTCGTGGGCCCCAAGGACATCTTCAGAAATCCAGAGGCCCAGGGAACAGAACAATAGGGGGGGGGGGGGGGGGGGGGGGGCGAAGGATAGCTGTGGATGTGCAATGCTTGAGTTAATTAGCTTCGCGTGGTCTCAGAGTCTCGAGGCCAGGACCCCCCTGTGAGTAGCTTCAGGATGTGCTCGGAAGCTTTCGGAGGGCTCTGTCAAACATTGTGAGACTTCGGCATGTACATGTGGCACCCAGGAAGATTTCGGGCTGTTTCTTTAGTCGGCCAGGCCATCTTCCGCTTTTTCGAGCCCACCACCGGCACAGGCCGGAACCTTTGGCCTCAACAGAAAAGATGGACTGATGTTCTCAGTTGTCGAGCCCATGTCGTGGAGAAGCTTCTCGAGGCTATCTCTCAGAGTTGGCTTCAGGGCCATGCCCGCAGCATGGCACGAACAAGTGGCAAGCACGGATATGGCATGCGTAGCCTGGCCATCCTATAGGCCCCTATAGGCATTGGAGCATGCAGGATGAAAGAACCGTAGACGAGGCGTGACAGATGGATTTGTGCGGGCCAGGCAAGAGCAAGGACAACGTCGACATCGCCCTGAGCATCAGGGCTGCAGATCAAGGCTTTAGATCAGCGCATTCCGGCCAGTGTCCTTCAAGGCCATACTGTTGCCAGAGTATGGTGGAGCTGTGGACGCATGACCATCAATGCGCAAGTACGCGCTGAAACCCCCTGCAAAGCTAGTTGCAGCCTAGAGCTGGCAATTCCAGAAACGATCAGAAACGTTGGGTCCAAAAGGCAGTATGTGCCGTGTGCCGATTTAAACAGCTAAGGCAACAAGGTGAGATGGGGAGTAGGGCCAAGCCCCTTCAACTTGGTCCTGTCCCACAGTGGGGACGACTTTGCTGCTTCCTTGCGGCAATATGCTTGCCATTTCAGATCCCTTTCCCCAGTATTCTGTTCGCGCTGCGCTGCTTTGTCTGTGTTACTCTGCCAGCAGCTCTCAGATCAGAACCCCGAGTAACAGCAGCAAGGAGCAGCAGATCCCTCAGTGCAGCCTGAACCGGCCGCATGAGGTCATGGGCATGCACTTCAAACTGGGCCTCTACGAGCACCAGTCGGCTGGTGCGCTAGAGGGTGCCATCTCAGCCTTAGCAGCCAGGCGCTGCAAAGCATGAAGGTCGGGGTCCGGAGTCTCCTCGTCTATCGTCTTATAGGACAGAGAGTTGACTTGGCATTCATGAGACTCTTGGTGAGATGTTTGGTTTATCGTTCATGGGACTGGCTTACGCGGTAACAGCCCAGGTACAGAATCCGGAGCTTGCCACAGGCCTGTCTTGCACAGTTCCTAAAAGGCACACTTTTCCGGTGCATGTCTACCCCACGTTAGAGAGTGTCACATTCAGCCTTCAGGCAGCTTAAAGCTTTGCATCATCACATTACGAACCCCAACTTCGCCCGAATCTTCAAAATCCCCTCCCCGCCTCCCTCCCTCCCCTCCCTCCCTCCCATCTAACCTTGTCCGAACCCTCAATCACCATTTTCACTGCACAAGTCGCAGAACCCACTCCAGGTGGCGTAGATGGCATCGCTGGCATCAACATCATCGCCTACGAGCCAGCCTTCGGCATCATTGGTGACCCAGCCAAGAAGGATCCGAAGACGCGCCAGTTTCCTGGCTGAACGGGCGAAGTCAAGTCACAAGAAGTGTTACTTGAGAGCTGAAGACAAGACCCGCACGTCTCGTGCTTCAGTCACGAGTCACGAGTAAACTTACGCTTTCATGAACCGCGAGGAAAAAGCAACGTAGACCTAGAATATCTGAACATTCTTCAGTGCTCGCGGTTTACAACCGGCGCAAGGACTCAGAGTTAGGGTTGGACGTATGGGAGTCGGGTGAACCCTGACAGTACTGCAAAGCCTTTTGCAAGAGGTCTGCGGACCACTCGATGGCCTTCATCGTGTCGCGAATCCTCCAGAAGGCGTTGAAGGCTGGTAAGGCGCCCGATATGCGTGTTGAAGCATCTTCTCGGAGGGTCATGCGACAAAAGCAGGCAGTTGCAGCATGTGCGCATCTAAGAAAGCCCAAGCCCGAAAACGCTGCAAACACCTGCTGTGTGGAGTCGTCTGGCCTGGACCCAGCAGATTCTGCCCGAAGCAGCAGGCTTTCTGTTTTCGACTGTTCTACATGCATACACTGTAACATACACGTGTTGTTGTTTTTTTTCAACTTGTGGCTCAAGCCATTTGCAAGTTCGTGTTTGACCTGAAAGAGGTCTCTGCCTTCGATAGCTCTTGGCTTCATTTAAAGCCAGCAACCCAGATCCCGTGACAGTGGTGACCAAGAGATGAAAGCAACGAGCGATTCCGAATCAACTTAGCACCTTCTATCTTACTGTAACAGCATTGGACCGGTCGATCCACTTCACGGGAGTCTGCTTTGCTCCGAATTCTTCGCGGCTGGCGCTCGACGACCCACCATGGAAGAGGCCACCAAGCTGCTCTCCAGGATCGAGCTCGATGAGTTCACCATCAAGGCCGCACGCCCTTGGAGCCCTGAACATACTTTTCCCCCCAAGAGAATCAACATGCGGAGGAAGTGCAAAATGGGTGGGAGACCATGGAGAAGCGGCTGGGCGGCCCCAAAGCAGCCGGAGAGGAGGCTCTTCTGCCCAATGAGTGGTCATTCACGGCAGTATGCCTCCAAGACGAAGCTCCATTTGCCCAGGTGCTTGGGAAGCTCAAGAATGAAGTGCCAAGAACCGAGGGCATGCTCAAAAGATCCAGCACCGTGTGGCTTGCCTTCAATGCGCAAACACTCTCTCTTGCGCATCAGGCAACAACAAAACCGCAACTTGATGATGGATTGAATGCTCATGGGTGCTCGAATGCACGTCTTTAGGTGGCACCTTCTGTCTGAGTTGCTGCACGCTATGGGTCAGCCCAAGCTGGTCCAGCAGCGCTTGGAGTACATCGCTTTGCGACACATGAACGCGGACATCACGACTGCAGATATCGAGGCAGGTGTCCACAACAACGCAGACAGTTTTTTTTGGCGTCGTTTGGATTCGAGGTTCTTCTGTGATTCTGTAGCATAGAGAATACAAGTTCAATAAGGCGGTACAATGCCCCAGGTGTTCCGCAACATCCTCTTTGAAGTCTGTGCATCCAAGCTTGGCGGGCTCATGACTCCTGAGTTCCAGTTTGGACTCGGTCAGATCGTCGTGGCCGTAGGCACATCATTGGCGAAGACCCACGAGCATCCTGGCTGTGCAGGCACTTCCCGCTGTCATGTCTGCCGAGGACCAGGTTCACATGTGGCAGATTTTCTGTTGAAGCTTTAGGAACCTGAGGCACTATGCGGCGCGGCTCAAGCTCTTGACGACCTGCTGGAAGGAGGTGAATGCCCATGGTACTGAGGAGGGGCAGAATGAAGACACATCGCAGCAGGAACAGCCACAGGAGCTACTTCTCACATCCCCAGAACACTCCAGAACCTTATAAGATCAAACGGATGTTGATGGCAAGCCGCACCATCCTGCAAGATTGCCCGCACAAGGAGAGCGAGGAGAAGGCACAGAACACTCAGACTTCTGGCGACGTGAAGGATGTGGAGCAGGTCGATCAGGGCGAAGACGAGCGCGAGCGTCACGGAGCATGGCAGGACCGACTGCGCGCATTGTTGAATGCCGATCCGCGGATTCTTAGGGCACTCCAGATGCATTCAAGGGGCCAGCAGTTGTTCTGCGCCTGCATTGTGACGGATTTGGCCACTCCCCAAAGCAGATGCTTGCGACTCAAAAGTCCAGGGGTTACTCGTAGGGTTTGCAACCAAGCCATTCTATTTGTCCCGTGCGCGACATCTGTTACTTCGGGGCAAGACACCTGAAGGTTGTGCTTCTCCTGATCCAGCTTGTTCCATTCCATTGCGTGCTGCTATGCCAGCACGCGCGCACACTGAGAGACAGAGTGCTCGGGAGGACAACTCCAACGTCAACATTCCTAAGACCTTCGCGGCCATGGCCAGATTCAATGCCGCCGTCATGGGAACTGGAGACCGTGCCTCGCAGAAGTCAGGGCTATCCGACTTGGGGCTGCGCAAAGAAAAATGGCCAAGCCAACAAGGCAATATACGAATCCTATCGAATCCTGCAAAAACTGGGGCCCTAGGGTGAAGGGATTGTGGGGCTACGTAGTGCTGATCCTGTTAGGTATGTGGTTTGCTGACATGCTCTATGCCATGGAGTCCCTTGTGCCCTACATCGGCAACATTGATCGTGTTCAAGAGGACTGCGATGTGCTGGCTCTGACCTTGGGTAAGTACGACACGGTGAATCTCAAGGAGTTCCGCTCCGTGATGTTTGCCAGCCTCAGGTCACTCTTGCCTTCATCCTGGAGCTTGGAGCACGAAAATGCCTGGTCCTGGTTCTGGGATATTGTGGAGAAGAAGGTCGAGGAGAAGAAACCATTGTGCATGCGGAACCTCCAGTGCTTGAGGGCTTTCCAGGCACGCATGGATGAGAAGACCTTGGATGAATTCAAGCTTCAGGTTTTCGACACCTTCTTTGCGAACTGCGAGGAGTCGCAGCTTTACTTGCGGGCAGCCAACAAACGCTTGGTGTACATCATGGGCAGGATCTTGACGATCATGTCGGACGTCTACACCAAGACCCATCAAGCAGTGATCGCCCTCTCTGCCTTGGGTTTGTTGCACGCTGGCCACGGGGTGCCTGAGGATTTGGTGCGCCCCTTCGTCCAAGCATTCATGGCTGGCATCAAGCAATACTGTCCGGACGAGTCTTTGCACGACAGCCTCTGGTGGACCTTGGATCTCATCGGTAGGATCTTCATCCGGACTTTGGCAGAGGGCTCCACGCCTGTGATCATCGCCATCAACAGGAACACCTCCATTGCCATGCAGGCAGCGGTGGCCAACGCACCGCGTGGCGAGCGCGAGGTGATGCTGCTTCGGGTGCAGGTGGGCACTGAGTCGATGTCGCCGCTGATGTGGGCCGTGGAGAAAGGTGCGTTGGAGTCTGCGAAGGCGATTTTGGACGATCTGCTGACCATGCGGGCTGACCGTGCCCGCTACTACTTCGGCATGGAAGCCCTCTGGAACCGCCACCCAGACATCATCAGTCTGCTTTGCAACAAGGCACCGTCGCTCCTCGCGACGCGCCTTGGAATGGTCTTCAGAACCTGTCCAGCTACCATTTACGTAATACCAAAACAACATATTTGATTCTTAGATGGTGTGTTTTCGACTACCGCCCCAAGGTTGTTTGATGGGCTGATCTGGCGCTCTAAGAACGTGAGGCAAGGTGTTCGACGCGCGAACTATTACATTGCCTCATTGATTGTGAATGACGAAGGCCAGCTAACCAATTCACTGTTGGACTTGATCCCTGGTCAGGATTGTCCTTGCAACGTGTGCATACCTCTACGATTGATGACAACCATGCTAATTAGCTTGTAAATACTGCCGTTAATATAGACCTGCAGTCCCAGTTGGTGTTGGTTCGTGCCCACAACCTTCTGATTCCTGCTAGTTTCGCAACTTCAGGACGCTTTTTTGTGAGAAGGGAAGTGCCAAGACCAAGGATCAAGCATGGTGATCCCGTCATCATATGCCACCCTACGGTGGTCTTCCAGGCCGATCTATTGTGGACTCGTCTTTGCTGCACGCCATGGGCACTGACAAAGGTGTCTTGGGCACTCTTGAGAGTGCATGTGGAGGTGTTCATGACTAAGGCATACCTACAGGGTCATAGACCATTTGAGATCACGGTTGAGCTTTGACCTGAAGACACCGGAGCGGGTTTTCTAAGATGAGCCCAACCTTAAAAGGTGTGGTTCTGCGCAACTCTCGTGGTGTACATCCTTGCGGAGCAGCAAGCCATTTTTTCGACCGATGCTTTGAGCCCTGAGAGATACACAGTCGTTGTTTGCCGGGCACTCGTGCACCATGCTCGTTCTTAAGGAGTTATGTTTTTTCCTCGCTCTTTGTTTTTTTTACACTAGTAACTGAGGCAGATTCTTGACAGTTCAACAGGTTTTGCCAGAAGCCATCAAGGTACGTCTGCAGCCTTGGACAGCTCTTTGTCAAGCATGCGGTCCAGACGTACAGAGCCCTTCGCCAGAAGCAAATCATGCGTGTGGGTGGATGTTTACGGGTGCCAGCTTACATGCTGCAGACGCGGCAGGAGATGATTGAAGCTTAGCTGAGAATGATTTTTCGTCTCGTGCACAGGACCCGATGAAGTGTGGACCCAGCTTAGGAAGTGTTCCTGCTGTTGCTCCTGATTTGCATGCTGTGCTGCGAGCCGGTGCTCCACTGCCTTGGCGCCAGCGGGGAGTTGCTCACCAACTGCTGCGAGCATGGGGATCCCTGGACGTAGGATTCAACGTTTTGCCGTTGTTTGTTTTTGTTTGGCCTTTCAGTGGCTTTAGCATCGCATCAGCCAGCGCTGTTGGCACATATTCGCACGAAGCCTACGGCCTAAGGAATGGCAATGCAACCTCACGCGCGCCTACAACCGCCTGGCAGCTTTCCCCATGATTCTCTACTTTATTCTCGGCTCGGAGTTGGTGCACTTGAATGTGCAGCTCTCAGTCTTCAGTGTGATCTGCTCCACCCTGATGTGGGAGTTCATCCTCTACGTGGCAGTCTTGATCTTCTTCACGGCCGCCTTTGCTTCGGCAGTGGCTTGCTTGCCTGCCTCGCTGGGCTCGGTGACTTAGCACAACTTACGACTAGTACGTAGAAGAGCTACCCTCAAGCGCAAACCTGTACACCATTGGATGCTTGCTTGGGGGTTGGTGCAGAATGCAGGAGTCGATTCAGATGCGGGACTTCTTCAGCTGGCCCTTGGCGTTTGAGCGCCTGAGCCAAACAGATGATGTTGAGTGGCGAGTGTTGTTCCAGCCATGTTGCTCAATTTGTCTTGTGCAGTAATTACGTCCCGTGCTTTTAGGAGGTCCTTACTTTCTGCCTCTTGCGCCCTGCGTTGACACTGTCGACCTACAGAACTGCACAGAAGCGGGAAGCGATGACTGGCATGGGTTCAGCTTGCCCTGCTCGGGGGTTCGGGGTTCCACCATGCGGGAGCCTGTAAGCAAGAAGCTCCGAAGCTCCGCTGTCATTCTCATGTTCCGGGAACTCGGCTTTCTTGCACGATGCATCTTAGCTCAGGTCCTTGCTGTCCATGGCCTTCAATGTCTACGGCGGCGGCAACTATGAAGAGATCGCGCAGTCCGAGGAGCCCATGTTGAAGTGGTTGGTGATGGCCTTCGCCGCCTGCTGGCATGTGTACCTGATGAACCTGATGGTTGCACAGCTTTGCCAACGTTATGGCCAAATCTTCCATGATGCCCGGGGCAATGCTCGATTGACACGCGGCATCAACATCTACGAGACATCCATGCCCCTGATCTCCAAGAAGCGATGGACAGCCTTTGTGGAGTCCCTGCACCTTGATTCTGAAGGGCTTGAAAAGCTTTGCGCTGGTAATGTTTCGGTGGCTTGGGCCATAAACCGACCATGGCTCATCATGCCTCCCGACAGTCCCAAAAACCAAAAAAGGCGCTTATGGGAGGCCTGCGAACTGGACGAGGGCGACAACGGACCCCGAGGCGCGGTACCAACGGTTGAAGACCCGAATCCGGGCCGCATTCTTGGGATTTGTCCAGGGCTTGGGTTTCTCTAGGCCGGCAGTATGGAGTATGTATGCACTCAAGGTATTCTGGTTTTTGTGTCGTCACCCCTTGCTTTGCGTCGGTGACAGCAGTCATCGGAAGTTGTTTCTCAACCAGAATGCTTTCAGACAAGGTTGCTGTCCTTTGTCTAGCCTGTTCTCCCTTCTTTCTCGTTGTACGTAGACTCACTCTCGATGAAGATACACGACGAACAGAGCAGATCTCCGGCGGCTGCCATGAAGCTAACAGCCTACATCCCCGCAGTTGCTGCCAGCCCACAATTTAAATTCCAAATCCTCTCACAGGTCATTCTGGTTCCCATGTGCTCCATGGAAAGCTGTCCTCCTATCCCCCTCGTTGCTCAAGCCCCTCCAAGGTATCTTCAACCACTTTCTTTTTCTTCTCGGGCAAATAGACTTTCCACTTTGTTGTCGTGAGAGATATGGAGAGTGCAAATGCGTAGGTTGAAAACAAGGGCAGGGTGGAAAGTGGAAAGGGCACAGGGCCAAAATAAGGTGGAAAAGGAAAAGTGGAGAGGGCATAAACCCCAGGCGAAGTGGAAAGGCAAAGGGCTCATGCCCAAAACAAAGCGGAAAGTGAGAACGGAAAGGGCATAAGGCATAAGCCCAACATAAAATTGCCTCTCAGACTAAGAGAGAGAGAGTGGAATGGGAAAGATGGTCAAGCACAAGCCGAAAAGTGGAAGGTCATGTTCTGTGGGAATTAGCTTGATATTTAGGAATGCTTTCCTTTCTTACCTGACTAGAATTTGATTTTGGGTTATACTCTATACAAGTTACCCCGAGTTTGTACTGTAAATATGTCAGTTGGTTTTGGATGTCATGCAACTGTTGAAAGAACTCTCCTATTTTCAAGGGCAGGCAAATTGGAAGATCATGCAATACATCTTTGCATATTTCAAAGGTGCTAGCATAAGTAGCGAAATCACTATGGCTAGGTATTTTGACTCTTTCGAAACTTGCTATGGAACATAATGGGATTGAAAGTATTGCCTTGCGAGTTCAATTGTTACCTGATGTGAGATTTACATCGGCGGCCGGATATTCTCAACACCAGATAACCAGTTAAACGCTGCATATTTCGCTGCCTTGCATGCGCTTACTAATTTGCACAACGTATGTGTCTCATAACTTCTCGGAAAATACTCGTATTTATATGAGTCTCGCCCCTCTAGTAAACAATGCAAATAATTGTGGCATTTCGATTAACGTAATTGAAGGTCCGGTTGTAAGTTTATCGTTTGAATGGCCGGAATACTGGAAGAGAATGAAGGACAGCCATGGGGACAACCGTTGCACCAAAAAAATCGTAGATAGGTACAACAAGTACAATGCTCGCAACAGAAAAACTTGTAGAACTTATCGGATTATACCCAAACTAGTGTGAGGTGAGCGCACGCAGTTGTTTCTGCATTCTTTGTTTGTCTTACTTGTTATTGGGTCCCCCCCCCAAGTTTGAAATGCACACGGTGGCATTGGGTTATCTAATAATAAGCAGCTGTCAATGAGGTTTCTGCATTTTGTTCTACTCTTTAAAAGGCCGTGAATATTGGAAGCCCCCGCACGAAGTTTAAAAGACATACCCTATTCGGAAGATGTGGGGAACATATTTGAGGCCAAGCACATTTTCGAGTCATATTGCTTGAGTGGGAATGAGGGACAGCTACTGGGACAACCGGCGCGAAACAAATCTAATCAGGGGCTAGTTGCTGATCTGTTTTGAACTGGGGATATCTTCATCACAGAGTAACGATGCAGTAGCGATGGCCCGTAACTTGCAATGGTCGAATATATCATGAAATGAATTGAGTAGAACTTATAGGATTGTACCCTTACAGATTAGATTGCAGCACTCCGAAGTTTGGAGTGTAAAACCCTGAATTGGGTTGATTTACATGTTTGGAGTGCTTAACCAAGTTTAGATTTGTGGTCCCAACCCGCAGACTGAACTTTGAATATTCTGAAAATAGTGTAAATAGTTCCATTGATCTAACTTACCTCTAACTGTGTACCGTTTCCACAAGAGTGTGAGAAGCTATCGAGCATTTACACTGTAGTAAATCCGTTTCAAGAGCCAGGTACTACTTGTGCAGTATAGACACATACAGACCGAGCATGTCCGAAAATAGCAGGAAATACTTTATTTGTATCGGAAACAAAGGCTAGGTAGGTAGGTTGCGGGGTTGGGTTGCATTGTATATGTAAATCGACATCGACTTGCTTGCAAGTTTACAAGGGATGGTGTGCCCACATGGTCCCACCTAGGTACGAGTACTTGCAGTACCCCAAGGTGGCGCTGGATCGGGTTCAGCGCTTTGGTGGCCTCGCCAACCCGGATTTGCCATGGCCCTCGCTTGAAGATGCTGTGGATGAGAGCGCAATCGGCAAGCTGACAAGGATGACGCAGGCCAAATTCGAGGAGATGGACAGGCTCATGGTCGACATGGCCATCAAACTCCAGGTCCGACCTCCGGGTACATCAGGCGGCACCAAGGACTTTTCAGCGGCGCATGCTTCCCAACATCTCGGTGACGACAAGCACGACAAGCAGGACGTTGAAACCGAAAAGGAGTTGTCAGATGTCGTTGAGGCAGAGTTGACTGTGAAGGAGAAGACCGAGAATGTGCCTGTGCTCATGGAGGAGCGTACGGAGGAGGGTGAAACATTGAATGAGACCCCTTTTGGCATCAACCGCAGCGACAATGGTCGAGGTCCTTTCGCAGTGAACTGAAACCCTTGAGCTGCACAGCACACAAAATGCCAACTTGCGGTGGCTGGGCTGAAAGAATTGTATAGACTTCTTCGGCAAAATGCCGCATCTAGTCTAGGAAGAGCACCAGCGCACATAGCAGCGTTGACAGCATTGTGTGCATGTCTCGAAGGCTGCCGCTGCTGAGCAACAGATCTTCCTTTGTTTACAGAGACCGCTATCTAACCACCGACCTGCTCGAGACACTCAGTTCAAACTCCCCAGTGAGAGACGTTGTGCGGCATGCGACCATTTAAGCCACTCTTTGAAGCAATTGTTTGAAGACTTGGCGAACACCGCCTTCCATGAGATTTCTGACAATCGTGCTGTGCTCCTGCACTTTCAAGTTGCAAGGGCAAACCTTGAACGCATATGGCTGCTGCACGCGGCACCTTGCTGCAAGCAGCAACGTGGCTTTTAAGTCCTCATTCGACTGTCAGTGCTGGCCTGCGCAATTGGGCTGCTTCAAGCGCAGGAAAGGGAATGGTACTTCCAGTGGCCAATGCCTGGCGCCAGAGAGGAGTGTTGAAGGCCCTCTGCGCATGTTTCAATCGTGCAGCTTTGGCTGCTGCTTCTTAGCAACAAGTCTCTCATCTCTCGAGCAAACTGCAAACTTGCATGTAGAGTCTAGAATCTCGCTGCTACTTCCTGATGTCTATAGGCGCATTCGGCGCATAGTCTATATACTCACTAGTGTTGGAAGCAAAGCAGCTTCACCTTCGTGCACGCAAGCGCCACCAACAACAGCAAACACCCTCACGCTCATACGTATGCACGCACACTTTTTGAGACATGTTGCCTGTTTGAAGACTTGGTAAGCACAGCCTTCCATGAGATTTGAAGGCATCGTGCACACATTTTCGAAGGCACAATCGACGCTGCACTTGCTAAACGCAACAGTGCATAATTAGTAATGATTGCGTTGTTGTCCCCAAAGTTTCTGAACTTCCGAGCTTCGCCTCGGAAAGAGTCTTTACATGTCGTTTCAACTGGCCAACACATGCTGGCTGACTGCAACTCGTTTTGCGGTCTCATATACCAATATACTATTTCAGCATTTGTTGCGGCTGTGGAAAGGTCGTCCCGGGCTTTGGGAGGCTTCGGGTTTTGTAGCTTACATAGGGTGGAACGTATGAGCCTACGCATTGCCCGTAGTTTCAGCAGCGGAAGCAGAATTGAAAGACGGGTTCTTGAGTTCTGGCTACTGCGTGTGATTGCGCATGCCAGGAGCGGGCATATGTCAATGTTCCTAGACACTAGCCAGCAAGGTCACGACCCCGGAAACAACATCAGTTAGCCCTTTGAGTATTGCCAACACAGTGGGGTGCCACCTGTCCAGTTAGCCTTGCATTGGCGCTATTCCATGTTTTCGGTCTATGAAGGGTGTCACAACCCTGCTTGAGAGAGTGGCTCCCGGAGTTCTGACCTTGGATCCTTTGTTGAAGGTGCCTGGGGCCATGGATGATGCTTGGATGGAGTTGATGCACCCAAGCAGAATTTCAGTTCATTGTCCGGTCTAGTTGGTATTCGGAAAGCACCGTCCCGTGGATGCCGCGACATGATTTACGCGCCATGTTGATTCATGACGTGAGGTGCTTGAGATTATGTACGGGAATGTGTAGGTCACCTTGGGTGCATAGTCTGTCCATCTAGAGGGATGGGTGTCGAGAGTTGAGATTCTCCGAAAGCGCATGTTGGACGATGATGAGGAGGAGGAGGAGAGCGATGGTGAAGGTGATGCTGCTGCACGGGCGCAGCTGATGGATGGAGGGATGGAGGGATGGATGGATGGTGAAGAAGAAGAAAAGATGATGATGACGCTGGTGCTGGTGCTGGTGCTGTGATGTCTACATCGACGACGACGATGCGTATGCAGTGATGGTGACGCTCTTGGTGACACATGACGATGTCAGCAACGACTGCGCTCAACAAACCATGCTTGCTTGGAACACAGTGTCGCAGTATGTGGCTGCTGCATGCAGTTGCAAATAAGTTGTGTTAGGGTTGGGTTGGAGCTGCAGCATTTGCTCGGCAGACAGCTACGGACTTGCCTGAGCCTGGGCCGGAGCAGCCTGTCAGGCCTATCTCGGCATATACATACATATATATATATATATATTATGTATATATACATATACATACATATACTGTCCGATACGCCTCATCTTCGGCATCATCTCGCAAAAGCGACAGTGCTAGCCTTTTGATGGAGCGCAGGGGACGGGCGTCATTTTCTGTCCGGGGAGACTGCTTTAATTTCACCAGCCACGTACAATTATCGTATTACCTTTATTCCCAGTTTCATTGTCAGCAAATATGTAGGGCACCCTAATTATTAAGTTCCTGACAGTCGTTTCTCGCACCGCAGTGCGGGGGGAAGGCGACACAACTGGGGTAAGCCTTAAAGGTGAAGGCGCCTTCCCATATCTGAGGCTATCACCGTACGACTATGGCAAGGATGCTTTGTATGACAAGGACACCAGGACACTCATGGAGAAGATCTCGCCTCTTGCTGCCAAGAGTTGCTCAGGTTAGGCCCGACCTACGCCAGCAACGAAGAGAAAGCAAGTTCAGACTTGAAGATCTGATGCAGCCGTCGTGTCTGGTTGATGCAGATGCCGCATTGATGAAGCTGCCAACAAATCGGTTAGAAACCAGGTTCTCTCACGGCGGACCGGAGTACGATGCCAAGTATCCTGATGGCATTCCCACTGCGATTGACATCACTCTCAAAAGCGGAAAGGCAAGGCTAGGGCCAGGTTGAGAAGAGGACCGGTCGTGTGTGTATATACATATAACTATATATATATATGTATTGTATCAGGATTAGCATATTGAATATTACATGTTCTGTATGAACGATCAGACCTACGCACAGATATCTTTGTGACACTTGGTCTTGGTCTTCAGGCTCCTGACTTTCCCCTTGCTCTGTCCATGATGAATGAAAGCATGACGTCAGCACAACGCCCTGCCACAGGTGATTTCCAGCGGCATGGCTGCTAGACCGCGCTTGAGAAGAAACGGCACACATGTTGGCCCCTAAACGTCCCCGTCGAATGCACTTGTGGAGTCACTCCCAGCGGTCCCCAACAGGTCATGTACCCTTCGGGCCACGCTCGAAATACTTCTGCAGACTTGAAGAAGATCCTGCAGCACAAGAACCGCATGCTCCCCTGGCTTGTATCAAGCTCCTTTGGGCACACGAGGGCTTCAGAAAAAAGGTGAGATAAGTGAAAGGTGAGATGGACTGTTGTCCCAGCTGGTTTTGTAGGCTGAGGAATGATGAGAAGCAGAAAGTGCTGGGCACATCGTGCCTATCCCGTATAGGGAGGCAAAGCCCCAAATCCTGAAGCGCAGCTGTGAACACAACATCCACTATAGCCTTCGAGCCCGAGCTCGCTGGAAGAATCCTACAACATTCAGACATGCATCAGGTTGGGTGACATTGTGTTCCCGGAGCGGGGCACTGTAGACCAGTTCGTCTCCCGCGCTTTGGCTTGGCTTTTGGTTTGAAGTGCACAGTGCGTAAACAGAGGAGCCTTTCGATTCAATGCAGATCCATGCGCATGATTGTCCCCCCAAGTTGAGTACTCAGGACTCGTGACGATGAAGGAGTTCCCGCCGCCACAAACGATTTCTTCTAAGAGTCCCACCATATTCTTCTGTTTCCCCCGCTGCAGGGCAAGTGACGCGTGCCGCCAGCTCTGTGTTGACATGCTGCAGCCTTCATCCTTCTTCCTAATATGAACGGCGCCCCTCCCCCCCCCCCCCCCCTAAAAGAAAGAAGGAGCCGGAAAGGGTTGTTAGTATTTAGGGGGGGGCGGGGGCGGGTTCTTATCCTTACCGTCATGGAGCAGGTTGCAAGCTTTCGGGCTGATAGGTTTCAGGCCAATTCTGCAGAATTTTCGAGGGTCGGCTGACGGACCGGGCTTTGGGGCGAGGGCTTTGGTTTTTTTTGCTGCATTCGGGGTGTATTCACAGGGGGAAGGGTCGCGGCACCCTAAAGACAACCTTCTGGTATCGTCCTGGCACATGCCCTTGTTTTTTCTTGTCCTTTGCGCGGGTCCTTAGCGCAGGATGCTTCGGCAGCGGATGTCGGCACCCTTTATGATTTCGACTTCAGCGCCATGAAGAAGCATGATTGCGCCACCTCTGCAGTGAGCTGAGGATCTAGCTCGACAGAGTTAAAGCACTGCGCGGCTTGAGGTTACCATTTGTTTGAGGTCTGTTTGGGGAACTAGTCCATGTGATGTATAGTATTCCCTGCCAAGACAGCATGACTAGAGAAGTTATTGATTTCATCACCATGGTGGAAGTGATTCAAGTAGAACCTACCCCACGCAGGTGCCAGACTAAATCCGTGAAATTGCCTTCGCCCGAAGGCATTGATGGTTGAGACAACCACGAAGCGTGCGATGGCCGCATGGCCGGTATGCAGGATCTGGTGAGGGTGTGTGGTTGGATCGAAGTCCTACACAATATTGATGACGTCGACTCTGCTCAATTGGAGCAAGTCATGCGCCCAACATTTGTTTAGCATGTTGTGAATGAACCTTTTGCTTGCGCGAAGTATGCCTGCATTGACAGCGAGCCTCGTCCATGAATCGCTGGCTGCTCGATGTACGTAGTTTAGGATGCAGCAACACTTGCAAAACGGTAAAGCCGCAAGTTTCTACGCACGTCACGCCGAATCGAAGCACAATCGCAAGCGATCTGATTAACTGAATGCTGGGCATGCGTTTGAAAGCGCACCAAGATTTGTTCATCCGGATTGCACTAGGCGTTTCGAGTGCGACAAGTACAAAGGGCGCGTGCTTGCATGGCTGACAACTCCTCCGTGCAAAGCACATGCTTTGCATTGGCCTTCGCAAGTGTAAGGTGTCGCTAGACGGGCTAGGTCTCCCAAGACAAGCAAAATTAGAATGATTAGAAGCCAAAGCCCTTGTGAGCGTGAGCCCAGCACTTCCAGGCTGGTGAGGCACCACCTCTGCCTTTTGAGAATCGAAGGCACGAGTCAGAAAGCATCAGAACGACACTGCTAGAAACGATCAGAAGCTTGGCTGAGCCATTAGCCGACTTAGAACACACATGAACACACATTCAACCAAGCAGCTCCCGTCAGGGCCAGACTGTGCCATACCTGTTTCATCACGCAATCACGCCATGGTTCTGCGATTCCCCCTGGCCCTCGGCAAACTCAGCAGGCATCCTGGGGAGGGGGGCACCTGTGAGCGATTGGGATGTCACTTTGTCTCCACCAGTGCCTAAGTCACAATGACTCCTTCCCGCTCTGCTCGAGTTCGCTTGTTGCAGTAGGGGGAAGGTAGCCAAAAACTCCAACCACCCTCATAACGAATGTGAAGTCTCTGGGCCGACATGGCTTCAGTGTAAGTGTGCCTTCTCGTCAGCATATGCCGCCCCACTTTCTGTTGCAACCTTTGCGGAAGAAGTGCATGCCGCCATGCCGGAAAACCGTCCTGACTGACCCCTAAACCGTGAATAGTCTGTATAGTTCCTTTCTGAAGATGTGTAAAGACCCGGAACATCCGAAACCTGTCGTGAAAGGTTGCGGTGGAGCTTCTGCTTCTTCCTTCTACAGGTCCTTCGCTGAACTTTCGCATTTAACCTGCCCGCAGATGTGTCCCCAAATCCTCAAAAATCAAGTCGGGCCTTCATCGCTTGAGCTTCTTCTTTCGCCTGCTTTCCGGGCCCGACGTTCCTTGAGTGCCTTGACCTGGATTGGGTGTACAATCCCATGTAAAGTGGCGGTGGTGTGCCGAGGTGGTCCCTTGCTGTGCAAATGGTGCTTCGGACGAAGCGGTGCCAGGTGATCCCCGCATGTTGCGCATCTTTTGGGACTTCAGATGACTTTAGGCTTCCGATGGGTCCGATGCCTGGGGTTCTGAGATTAGGATGAAGTGAGGCTGCTGTCGAGACGGAGGGTGCTTTGTAGTTGGTAGGAGAGCCGAGCTGATGCCAGCTGCTTCCTTGACAAATTGAAGCCCTAGGTCCGCAACAAGACTCACTCAATTTTCCAAGCCACTCCGAAGTCACTCCGGCAAAACCCAACCACCACGGACATGTTTGGACGTGGCCTGCAGAAGAACGAAATCTCCGTGGCGACGCCGTTCGGGACCGCTGCTGTCTCCCCAAGCCAGCGCACAGTAACCCGCCATGTGGGTTCATGGCCAGGTTAATGAAAAAGGAAGTAGACGGCAACTGCAGCACGTGCTTGGACTCGCTATCTGCGGCCAAAATATTTCAGTGTGGCATCATGCCCACTCACTTTGTCTGGAGGATGTGCTCTCCACGGTCGTTGGACTCATCCACCATGTCTCTGAGGCGGACAAATCATCACTATTTTTTGGAATCTCTTCTTTACGTCAACTTTACGACGTATAGTTCGAAGTACCAGCACACTTGATCAGCTTCCTTCAGCCCGAAGTGCCCGAAGTGACTAAGTCTGGAGGGCAGGGCGATGCGCCATGATACATCTTCTAGTGAGTCCTGAAGCTCTAAGCATGGCTATTCCAGTCGTTGGTTTTCATGGCCATCTGAGTAACTTGTAAGACCAGGAGAGTGTGGAGCAACGCCTCATGTGGGGTAGTATTCTATATAACGTCCGCCGCCACACACAGGAGCAGCATGAGAAGCCCCCTCAGCGGGACGTGGGCATCGCCTGTCGCGAGGCTTTTGTTGGTAGGTAATCGTTCACGCGTCCTGCACCTGCTCTTGTAATCCTGGGGCCCTTGTGGACACTGAGCTTAAAGCGCCCTAGCTCTTGTTTTGTTGTTCTGGCATGTCCTCAGGGAAGTTTTTCTGTCTTGCAGCTGCGATTTCGATGTTTCGTCGCGTCAGCGAACGAAATCGCCTGGGTTGCCTGAGGCCCCGCCTGTCTTGTGGGAATCCTGACTCGGGGGGCTTTCGAACCCTGAATAGTAAGAAAGCCTCGGAGAGGGCCTGGGCAAGAGGAAAGACTCAAGCCAAACGTTCAAGTTGAGAGTTGGGAACCCCGCTCCTAAGGTATGCTGCTGGGTTCTGTCGGCTTCGTGATGCTGTTGTTCTACGTAGTGCTGCCCGGCCGAATTTACGCTCTCTTTGATCGCAAGGACCCGCAAGACACTCCAGGAAGGACCAGGCCCTGACAAGGTTCTTTCAGGTAATTAAGGCTCAGGGCCGTGTAGGGGCCAGCGGCCCAGGAACTGGAAGGACGACGACATTCGCCTTTACGCCTGGACGATCATCAGCACCACCACGTGCCTCTTCACAGCCGTGCTCTCCTTCTCTGGTTTCAAGGCGCGAAGGCATTCCCCCAACCTTATTAGCGGGGTGGGACTGGCCAATGACTGGCCACACGCTGGGGAGCTTGTAAGCTCCGACTTGCATTTTTGTGGCAGTCGCACCGGGCAGATGGCAGAATGAGGCACTCCATTGAAAGTCATGCGGCCGAAGCCACCAAGCAATACAAGCTGTCCCCTCGTCAAAAGTTTCCATCAGAAGCAGAGGACTCAGAGGGACATTTGCCGGACATGCGCCTCACACTGGTACAGCCAACACCAGACGTTCCGGGAACCGTGCTGTTGGTTGCCTGAACCCTGACCCTGCTGTCGTCCAGAACACATGCCCTGCTTGGGTGTGGAACTTAGGGGTTTTTATCGTCTGAGACTTGTCGCTCGGGTCGCCCGGCACCGATGGGTCTTGCATCTTACGTGCTGATGTGATGCGATTCTAGTGGGTGCGAGTCTACTCTTCAGTTGACTGTGGGCTCAGCTTCGTCAGGGCTTCATAGCGAGCGGATTAGTATGGGTTCGCTGTCCGAAGTTCGCTCGGAGGTTGTGACTGAGATGGCCATCTATGTTTCAGAGGAGACAACCGGCTTTGTGCCTTGCCTGTTGAGGCTTTGCAGAGGAGCCAAGAGTTTCAAGCCGCGACGGCCTGCACTAAGGAGTGCATCCGCGCATACGTGCTGTTCCTGCTGGCTTTCGCGTCCTTGCAGTTGGTCCGAGCCTCATGGTTAGTTCGACTCGGGTTACACGGACGTATTGCAGCGTATTGTTAGGTTGCGTGTTCAGTGATCAGCTTCCGGCACCAAGCTTCGTGGAAGTTACTGATCTGATCGAGATGGTAGCCGGAAGGCCGAAGCATATTGAAGCGTCTTGAGATGTCACCGCATGCTCCGGAATCTGACCGCCCATAATCTGTTCCCCCAATGAATGGTTCCGGGGTCAAATGGTTTCGTATTTTTGCGGAATCGACTTGTGACCCGGGAAGGATTTGATGAAACTTAGCCCCCCCCCCGAATTTCGGAGGAGGTTGCAGACGGTTCTGGCTGGACGTGGGGCCGGTGGGATGTGGGGGAATTTGTTTCTCATTCAGACGTGCGTCCGAAAAGCAGGGCACGAATTAGACCATCCAGTCCATATCATGTGCACTGATCCGCACCCTTTGCATCCAACCTCTCTTTTGATCTGATCTGTGAGCCTCTGAGGCGTCGAAGCTGATTTCGGGAGCCTACTGCTCCTTGCTGGAATCTTTTCACGTGTTGTGGGTGACGAGGTATTGCCTTTGAGGGCAGTTCGGAGTTGGATTGATGGAGTGTCGTAGAAAACCCTTCCTTCGGGCTTAGTTTCGGTCGCAAACTCGTGGGGCACGCGGAAGGTGCGGGGGGTTCGGCCCTCAAGCCCACGAAAGAAAGAAAGAAAGAGAGGAAAGAGAGGAAGAGAGCTGGGGTTGAGAGGTTATGAGGAAAAGGGGGAAAACTTGTAACTCTGTCATTTCGACATTAGAGCATCCGTACAGTCTTGTCCGTACTCTCAGCCCACCCACTGCCTACCTGTAGTGCACCGGGGCTGTGGTCGCCGACCTGCATCGCAGCCATCTGTACATCATGAAGCGCACTGTCCGGTTCCGTTAATTAAGGGCGGCTTTTTCTACATGCCAATCCACGGAGGCCCTGGGTCCAGAAGCACATCCAGGTTGTTGCATGTTTTTCTGGGACGGACAGCGCGGAGGGAGGTGTAAGCCGTCATCCAATTGTTGATTATGTCGGTCGGTCTTTCATTACACCTCCCACCCACGTTTTCACTGCCTCGGTGGACTCGCGCGCCTCGGGGCGGCTTCCCTCACCTGGGGGGGGGGGGGAATGCGTGCCGAGAGAGAGAGAGAGAGAGAGAGAGAGATACCGCCATTTTGGCTCAAGCCATTTTGGCTCAAGCCGTGAGCGGTTCGAGCCCCAGCCCGAGTCCTTGTGGGCAAAACCAACAAAGAGAGACTGAGGGGGGTAGCTTGCGAGAGGGGGGCCAACCTTCCGCACCGGTGCCGCCATACGTCGTGACCTACCAGTTTGTGCTACCTACGCGACTCCCTCGTGCGGATTGACTTCTACCTCGAGGGTGGCCTCGGAGCTCATCGGTGACCGCTGCTGCGCGCTTGGGCTGCCGGCGGACGAGTGGAGAGAGCGCGACCCCGCCGACGGCATGAACACTGGTGGAGAAGGGCGAGATCGCCCTGCGGCTAGTCCTTCCTCGGGGCACAAGCGCAAAGGAGGGGGGGCCATCAATCTGGACGACGACCTCCCGGGGGCCATCTCACAAACCGAGACGGAAATATTCCCCACTCCTCCGGACCTTGCTGTCAACAGCCTCAGCATCGCGGACGTCAAGACGGCCTTGCGAGTGGAGGTCCAGGGCTTCCTGGGCGAACTTCGGGGAGTGATGGGTGGCATGGAGAAGCGCATTACCGAGAGCATGGAGACCAAGATGGCGGGATTGCACACACGACTGGATGACGTACAAGAACAAGCCAAAAAGCATGGAGAGGCCCTGACGAGTTTGGAAGCCAGAGTGTTTCAGCTGGAAAACGGGGGGGGTCCTTCGACGACGGCTACCGGCACGGCAAGCACCTCGGGCTCCAACACACGCAGACGAGCCATCGTGCTAGGGGGCTACGACCGGGACACCCCTCGTGATACCCTACTGGCGGAGCTCTCCTCACAGGTGGCCAAGTTGCAACTCGACTTCGACCCCTCGACAATGTTTGCCACGGGGATAAGGAGAGGCACGGCCATAGTGCCCATGCACCCGAAGGAGGGGGAAAGCGAGAAGGACACCAGTGAGCGTTTTGCCAAAGTCTTGAGGCAGATTCGTGAGGCGGACATTGAGGTGGGCGTCAGAGAGGATGGAAAGCCACGTCTTCTTTGGGCGGCTTGGAGCAAGACCCAGGAGCAACGACAGCGCTCGGCATATGCCGGAAAGGTGAAGCGACTCTTGCTGACCCTGGACAAGGAGGCCCAGGTGGAATGTGAATGGTCGTCGGGGACAGTGTGGCTGGGGGGAACAAGGGTTGCTTCTGCTACGACGGCGGGGCCATTGGCGAAGGAGACGCACACCACAAAGTTCGGCTGGCTGGACGTTCAGAAGATTGCAGAGAAGCTGGGCAAGGAGAAGAAGGAGATCGAGGACCCCTGGGGGGACCTCGAGGCCCAGCTCCGCTGAAGAGTTCCGCTCGAGTTTCACCACTACCTCAGAACATGGAACGTGGGGGGCTTGGACGCTGACGGCGACCTAGTTGACAGTCTCATGGCCACGTCTGAGGGGGACCAGCTGGAATTCGTTCTCTTGCAAGAAATACCGCAACCGAAAGGGGGAACTCCCTCTACTGCAAGTACGACAGCGAGCACAAAGGGGCCGCGACCGCTGGACAAGAGCGTCCCTGGCTTGGGGGAGGAGCACTGTCTTGCGCAAAAACTCTACAAAACCATTTCCTCGTCCAAGCCTGGACGCCGGCTGATTGGAGAAGCACAGGTGTACTACTTCGACAACGAGATGAGCATGGATCGCACACCATCCAGGCCCATGGAGGGAGTCTGGGGCTCACATGGGTCAAAATCCGACATGCATCACTTGGGGTGGTGGGGCTCGCATCCTGCCACCTGCCACACTGGGCGACTACACAACAGGCTGCGGAACTGCTGCGCAACTGGATGGTGTCCATGACTCCACTGCGCGGGCTTCATCGCATCATCTGCGGGGGGGACTTCAACGAGACGTTGGTGATGGGGGACGGTGATGGCGTTTTCGGTGGGACCACTGCGAGGGGCGAGCTCGTAGCTTCGTTCCTCCAAGAGCTAGGCCTCAGAGCAGCGGAGGAGAACTGGACCGAGCCGACCTACCACCCATACAACCGCGCCATGCAATCCCGTCGTCTGGACTACATCTTCGTCAAGGGGGTCATCGTGGTGGCTGCTGGAGTGGCGACCGGTTCAAGACATGAGATTTCTTCGGATCACGACGCGGTGGAGCTTCAGCTGGTCCAACTACCACACAACGCTGACCACCGCCCGCGCAGACTTCGAACAGGGGTGCCAGTGCAGCCAGACAAAGCCAAAGAACTTCTCCGGAAGCGACAACCGCCTCGGGTAGGGGAAGGCTTTCTCCTCGGCGCCGTGGCGGAGCTCTCACAACGCCTGATTGCGCCGAAGAGTTCCAAAAGATTTCAGGAGAGTCAGCACCTGATCCGTCTGCGACATGCAGCACAGCAAGCACGTGGAGGAGCAGCAAGAACTCTCTGGAAGGAGGTCCACTCTGTCAGGAAGAGTGAGAAGCGAAAATGGCTCAAGCACCTCACCTTCTGGGCAACCAGAGGGGATTGGGGGGCCTGGAAAAAGCTCTTTGGCATGGGCCCTCGCACACTTTGGGAGCCCGCTCTGATCCAACGCTATGTGGACTGGCCGACAAGCATGACCGAGCACATGGAGGCCATCTTCTTTCGAGACTCGCAAGCAGAAAATGAGGAAGCGAGGGACGAAACACGCCTGCAGTTAGCAATGCTCCCGGGGGAGTACCACGCCTTCTCCATGGAAGAGGTCCACAGTGTCATGGCGAAGTGGAAATCGGGGCGAGCAGCGGGACCAGACGGCATCACCTACGAGGCACTACGAATCATCCTGAAGGACGACGCCTGGGGGGCCTTTGTGTTGGAAGAACTCAACGAATTTCTCAAGTTGGGCTTCACCACGTCGGACCTCTACAGCACCTCCACCTTCATGCTGGCCAAAAAGAGGGAACCTCGTGAGTGGGGCGACTTAAGGCCCATCACGCTTTCCTCAGCCCTGCTCAAGCTTCTGAGCCAACTCACCCTCAAAAGGGTGACCCATTTGTTGGGGACCGCGAACGACCTACAATGGGCGGCGCCGTCGAAACAGCCCCTGGAGCTTGCCTTGGGACTCGGACGCATGCTTCGGCTCTGTCGAGAATGGAAGCAGGAGGCCTTCCTCGTGAAGATTGACGTCAGGAAGGCTTTCGACAGCGTCAAGCTCCCTCGGCTTCTGCGGCTGATAAGACGCAAACTGGCGGGGCGACCCAAGGAGGGGCGACTGCTCACTGAAATGGTTTGCCATCTGGGGATCAATGTGGAGTTCCTGGACCAGCACATCCCGATCCGGCAAAGCAACGGCGTCAAACAGGGGGCCCCGGAATCCCCCGTGCTCTTCGCCGCGCTCATTGCAGAACTGGCGGATGAGGTGGCCACCGAGTTTGGCATGGCGCTGCCACATGAAGAACCAGGGTGGGAATTGCCTTTCAACCTGGCTGCCTTCGCGGATGACATGTACCTCTGGCACTTTTGTCTTCGTCGACTACAAGAGCTGCTGACCATGGTAGAGAACAAGGCGGCAGAGAATGGCCTCCAATTCCAGGGGGACAAGACCTCGGTGTTAACCAGCGTGGAGGATGATGCCCGCACCCTCACTATTGGGGGCAAACAAGTCAAATTCCTGCCCCCGGGGTCCCTTGTTCGCGTCCTTGGAACGCAGCAAGGGTTCAAAAGGGGGGCCGCTGATGTCGCCGCAGAGGTCAACGCCAAAATGCGACAAGTCTTTTGGGCCCACAAAGCAGTGTTTGCAGGAAGGATGCCCCTCACCTGCAAATGGGAGGCCTTCCATGCGGTGGTCCGAGGGTCAGGCCTGTGGCAAGCGGCGGCATTGCCGCCGAGTCGCAACTTATTGGCGGCCCTCAACACACAGCAGCTACGCTTTGTCCGGGTGATGGCCGGCTTACGGCGAAAGCAGGGGGAGCCTTTCGTTGATTATGAGATGCGCAGCCTCCGGGTGTCACGCGCTCGGCTACACCTACACGGACAGGAGCGGTACTCCACGTACGTCCTTCGTCAGGCGTGGAGGTTGTTCGGCCATGTCGCCAGACAAAATAGCAGGGCCAAACAACTGCTCAGATGGAGGGGGCCGGTCTGGTGGAAGTTGGAGCAACGGAAACGAGGGGGCCATCGTCACCCGGGAAGATACAATGCCGGAATGGAGATTCAGAACGACTTCAACACCTTCCTGGGGGTCGATGACTGGATGGACGTTGCTCAAGACCGCCAAAGATGGAAAAGCCTTGAAGTTCCCTGGGTCAAGTCCCAGGACCTACCTTGGTGCACGCACGCACAGGCAGCCCTCGAAGCTGAAGCCGGTGAACAAGATGATGTACGCCTAGCAGCGCAGCTACGAATACAGAACCTCATGCCCAACAGAAAGAAGCGCCAACGAAAGAAGTCTGGAGCCAAAGCTACCAAACGCCGAGTCAAGCAGCGGCCCGCTGCTGCACAGCCGGCTCAGCTCATGTTGCCATATGAGGGGCCGCTGGGACAACCAAAGGGGGGCCTTTAGCCCCCCCTCGTACGCGCAGTACGTGCAGATGGACCTCTCCGTAGGAGACCCCCCGTTTTTTCAGAGTTGTGGCAGCGATCAGCGAATGACGCCTCATGAAGAGCCTGAAAGCCATGGTCGTTGAAAAGATTTCCCCGTTTTGGTTTCCCTGAACACCCCAGCACGCTTTTGCCTCGCCGGTGGCCCTGATAGCTTTGTGTGTGCTGTGATGCAGAGAGAGCGTGATGTCAACACAGTGGGGGACCAGCACGTCGCCTACCCCGCAGCCGTCTTGGCCCAGCTCCTGCTCCTGCCCCTCGCCAACAACCTCGACAGCGGCGCCATCATGGGGGTGCTCCCGACGTGGCCGCTGCTGACCTTTCTCGTGATCGTGATGGTGAAGGGGGGCCAGTGGAGCCTTTGGAACTGGGACGAAGAGTGGAACGATGCGGCGCCTCTAGGGGGGCCGTCGGACCGCCAACGACAGAGACACCAACCGGAGAGCTGGATGGACGAGGAAGGAGTGCTACATGAACAACCTCCACCTTCTGACCGACGAGGGGGCCAACAGACGAGTGCCGAAGCAACGCCAGCGGGGACCGCTGACGCGAACAGAGGTCAGGAAGCTGAACCAGGAGGTCTGGCCCCCCATGGGGGCCCTCAGCGACTACTACACGATTCGGCACTACCTCAACCACGACGCCTACCTGACCAAGAAGGGGGACCAACGCCTCAGGAGAACGAGTACGAAGCCGAGCTGGACGAAACCCTACCTGCACAAGCACCACGTGAGCAAGCGGATGCCCGAGAGGAGGAGGAAACGCGACCACCGCCGCCCCGAGAAGAAGAGGATGACTGGGAGGACTGGGGCCAATGGTGGGAACACCTACGCGGCATTGGACGGGAACACCCACAACGTGGACGGCAACACGCTCGACGACTACCTGACCAGGACCCAGCCGCAGATGCGGCACCGCAACAAAGCCGGGGGCGGACGACCGACCACCCCGACACGACCGAGTGGAGCTGGCGAGAGTGGGGAACGCATGACCGTCCTCAACAAGAACAAGGCGGTCAGTGGGCTTCGAGACCGTGGAGGGCAACGAGGTGGAGATGGTGGGCGTACCCGCGGGATCGAGCGGGGGACGCCTGGTTCGAAGTTCAGCTGAGGGACTGGCGGGAGGAGCGTCGTGAACGAGAAGAACAACAGCAAGGATGGGTGCCCCCCACAGAGGACAACACCGACACCTACGACCAGCCCTACAACCTGGAGCTCCACGCGTGGAACCCTGGGCTAGGGGCCCAAGGACTACAACATGACGGAGGGGACCACGCTGAACACCGAGATGACGCTGGATACATCGACACCGACAACCAGCCCTACAACCCGGAGCTCCACGCGTGGAACCCTGGGCCGGTTGCCCACGGACTACAACAGGACGGAGGGGGCCATGCTGAACGCGGAGACGACGCAGGATACATCGACACCGACGACCAGCCCTACAACCCGGAGCTCCACGCGTGGAACCCAGGGCCAGGGGGCCCTGAGCTACAACATGACGGAGAGGGCCACGCTCAACATCGCGATGCAGACTGGCCCCACAACCCGCCCGAGCACGCCTGGAACCTGGGGCCGAGACAGAGAGAGGACAACGCCAACGACCAGGCTGATACACCACACCAGGACCCGAGCACAGCTTGGGGCTCTGAACAAGCACAAGGGGAAGCCGGAGAACACGCTCAGAACGATGAGAACGGGGTCCAGGACGAGGAGAACGAGGTCCAGAATGTGGGGACGAACGACGAGGACGCCGAGACCAAACAGCGGGCATGGGAAGCATACTTGGCGCAGAGGGGGCAGAGGCATTCAGAAGGAGGCCCACAGCAGGAGATGCCACCGTGGTTTGGGGTGGCCAAGCAAGCAGTGGAGACCGAGCCACAGGACATTAACCCGCCGGGATACCCACCCACGGCACGTCGACGAGTTCGCTACATGACGCAGGAGGCCATGGATGAACTGCGAGCCCGACCCTATAGACTACGCTGGCAAAACGAGAGACGTCGCTACACAGGGAGCCTCGGCACCGAGAGGACCAAAGGAGTGCGTCTGGGCGCAAGCCCAGGATTGGTCCACCGGAGCAACACCCAAACACCACATGGACAAGTGCCTGGCTCTGGATCGTCTTCTTCGTCTACCGCGGGCACACAGCCACAGTGGCATGGGTGGTCGTCATGGAGCTCCTGGACAACAGGAGAAAGATCTGGATCCAAACACAGTGGAGGACAGGGGCCGATTCGACAGGAGCGAAAGGCCCGCCAGTGGGCCGACTGGCAACAGTGGGAGCAAGCGTGGCACAGCGAATGGAGCAAGCAAGTCCGGCACAGCAGCGGGCTCCCCATGGAGGGGGCAGCGGAGGAGTGGGCCGACCTTCTCAATCGCCATCGCCACCGTCCCACAACCCCACAGGGGGAGACAGAGGGGGCCACTGATGGTGAAGAGGCCAATGTGCAACAGGGGGCCAATCACGAGGCTCCGTCTAGTGAACACGCTCTCAGTGCCGGTGAACCTGATGGAACCCCGGAACTACAACAGCAAGAACAATGCCACGAATCGGAGGAGCAACAGGACTTGGTGGAGGAAGCCGAGGACATCATCGACACCCTCCTGGACAACCTGCACTCGCACGCGGCGGGGAGACGAGAGGACGAAAAAGACTCCTCGACCTTACTCCAACACATGGTGGACCTCCAGCACGGCAAGCACAAGGACACTGCGAGAGAAGCCGGGCTCTACGTCAACCACCACGTCGCCAACGCCACGCAACAGGGAGACGAGGTGGCCTGGGTCCAAGGACGCAAAAGAAAGAGGAGCGACAGGGACCCGGAGAACCATACGGACCACGGCGATGGCGAGGACGAGGTGAAGATGGAAGACAAACGTGAAGGAAGTAGGGGGCCGCCAAGCAACGCGGCCGTCAACGCCAATAGGGAGGGGGCCAGCGACGTCGACCTGGAGGAGCAGAGAAGGTTCGAAAACGAAACAGAAGAGGAGAGAGCGCTACAAGAAGAGTTCGAGCAAGACCGAGCACTACACGAAGAATGGGTCCAGAAAACGATAGACGACTACTTCGCGGACGCCGAGGAGGAGCAGCCGGGGCCAAGCCGACAACGACCAGGAAGGCAACAAGAAGAGGGGGCCAAGCACCACGCGGACGCCATCACTATGGCTTTTGGCAGGTGGTCGCTGGGCACCGCAGCAGGGGGGGGCTTCGAGATTGAGGAGGACAGTATCAGGGAGGTCCTGACCCACATCCTCAACTTGCACCCGCTGATGGCTGAAGATGGAGAGGCGCCCACGCCGCACCTCACCCTCCTCTACCAGATCCTGACGACATGGGCCAACACCAGAACGGTGCTGACCCAGACAGATACCGAAACAGTGGAGCGCATCTGGCTCGGGTACCTCGAAGGGCTCCGGACCGCAATGGGGGTGAACTTGGCCGCAACTGCAGCACCGAGTGGAAGACGAACCAACGAGGAGAACCAACTACGCACAGTCAACCTGACAGGGGAAAGAGACAGTTTCGAGTCAGAGGACCACAACGAGCTGGGGGACCAGGACGTGGAGCCGGACGACGACGCCGAGCAGAAGCACGATGAGGACCAGAACGAGAAAGAGGACCACACCACGGACGAGGAGGTCATGGAGCGGGAGGAGGAGGAACAACCACTGGGGCCAGTGGAGCACCTGGGGAGACACAGTGTGTGGACGACGCCGCCAGGGGGACCGACACAAGCGACAAGACCCCGTAGGGGGGCCAGGCCGTGGCCGAACTGTCTCCTGCGACCGGGGCACCGCCCACTCAAACAAGGCGAGACCCTGGACTATGGCAGTTTCGTGAGGGAAGCCACAGAGTGGAGACGGCTGGCTGCGCTCCGTGAAGAACGCAAGGCAGCCGTGGAAGCTACACCGACCTCTACCTCGTCGAGTTCCGGGCTGCCGTCGGCCTACTACGTGAAGCCGGAAGACCAACAACCGGGGGGCCCGTTGCAAGGAGGCCAAGTGGAGAACCAACACACAGGCGAAGCTACTTTGACCTCTACCCCGACAAGCTCGTCGTTGCCCGCGGGGCTGGGAATGGCAGGGAACCTGCTAACAGGGGGCCAATGTCAAGGGGTCCCGAACACGCAGATGGACGAGCCTCTTGCTGACGAAGATGGAGCTGAAGCGTTCCTGGGGGGCCAAACTGAGGGGGACCCGTGTTAGTGCACAGTCTTGTGTCTCGAAAAGTGGTGACGCAGCATTTCCACCACATAGGGCCATCAACGAATGGTACCTACACTTTCACCGGGACAGAACAGCGGGCCAGCGTGGCCGGGGTCCTCTTCGGGGGGCCTCTTCGCTGAGCAGAAGAAGAGAGAGAGATAGAGAGGCCATTTTGGCTCAAGCCACGAGTGCTCAAGCCCCGCCCCACCGTCCAGTGGGCTCCAACCTGAGAGGGGTGAGAGTGAGAAGTTGAGAGAGAGGGGGGGCAGCCGCTGCAAAGAACAGTGCTCTCGGGGGAGTGCCATACAAGCTGATCGGCAAGATTGCAAAACTACGCGTCTACACCAAGGGGGTTCGGCACGGGGACATAGTAAAGGGCGAAGCGGTACGGGACCGGCGCTGGCGAAGGGGGACTTCTACGACCGCTGCGGCGTGAGGGGGAGTGTGTGACCAGCTACGCGAAAGATATCTGGCGGCCCTACAGGGGGGGTACCAGACCGCAACGACTGACCTCATCGCCTACTACGCCAGGGAGTTTGTGAACGGGAAGTGCGTGATACTGGCAAGGACATCGAGAATGCATACCACACAGCACAGGCAGAGGGAAGAAATATCCCCAAGCGGGAAAAGAAAAGCAGGGGAAGAGGACCTCGGGGAGAGTCTGTCAGCCAGAGAGACGGTGGAGCTCATCAGGCAAACCATAAAGGGAGAACTTCAAGTGGTCTCTGAGGTGAAAGCAGCAATGGACCATGTCAAGCAGCGCATTGACTGCGTGGAAGCGGAGGTGACGAAGCAGATGGGGGGGACAATACAGATCCTGAACAAGATCACCGACAAGCAGGACACCCAAGGTAAGCACATCGCGCAGCTCCGTGATGACCAAGAAGGCCTGGTGAACCGCATCGAGCTATTAGAGGGGAAGATGGCCAGTTTTTCGCCAGCAGTGTCTACAGCCAGCACGGAAGGCGGGGAAAAAACACCAGCGATCATCATGGGAGGATGGCCGGAAGACCAGCAAGCCTCAGCGACACTGGAAAAGGCAAAAGAAATGGTCCGAAGGTTGAGGATCAATATCAACATGGAGCATGCCTTCGTCCCCGGAGTGAGGCGGGGGTATGCCATCGTACCCTACGGGCCGCAAGGAGGAGAAACGCCAGAACAAATGAGGACGAGAATCAGGGAAAGCCTCACCAAAGCCAAAGAAGCCAATGTCAAGCTGGGAACCAGAGCCAGCGGGGAAGCACAGAATTTCTGGATGAGCATCTCGCAGTCACCTGAAAGGAGAAGACGGGCTCATTTTGGAAAAGGGAGGGAGCAAGTCACTCTTGGAAGTGGAGTGGCAATCGGGGACGGTGTGGTATGAGGATAGAAGAGTGGCGTCAGCTTTCACTCGTAGGCCGCAAGGAGCCCAAGAGCACTGGGCGGGATGGATCTCGCTGGAAGCCATAGGAGAGAGCCTGGCAATGCCGGAAAACCAGGTGAAGGAGAGATGGGAGGCGTTGAGCGCCACCCTCAAGTGACAGGACAGCGGGGAAGAGTTTCACCCCCCGGGGAAAAGGCAGGGGGAAGCGCCAGTCATTGAGACCAAGAAGGCCCTGATGATTACCTGGAATGTGGGCGGGCTTACGCCGCAAAAAGTGGCGGAAGTAATGCGCGCAGTCCGGGACAGTGCTGGTACAATTCTCAAGGAAGTGTACGACTGCAGTATCGTGTTCCTCCAAGAGGTCACGGTAGACACAGGAGTCATAACGGACTACTTCCAAAAGAAAAAAGAAGAGGAAAGAGAGGAGGAAGGGAGAAGTGCGTCGTCAACAACAGTGGCAGAAGCGATAGCCTCGGCGCCATGGAGAACCCTGAACTCCACGACGAGACCAGGCGGAGAAACAGCCAGCAGCTCAGCAAGACCGAGGCCCCAGGCGGTGACCGGAGGGGGAGCGCAACCCCCCAAGAAGAAGCCGAGGAGAACCAATCCAGAATTGGAAGAAGCGAGGCGTATTGGGGACATGCTTGCAAACCCGGAGCCGGGGCAACCACAACCAACAAAGGAGGAAATGCGCGAGGACCTGGGAGTACTACTAGCGCTGTTCCAAACGGCGCTCCGAAGACTGGAGGAGGACGACCAATGCCGAGAGGAGGACAGAAGGAGGGGAAAACAAGCTTGTTTTGAAGCCATGGAGATGCTAGCGGACCTCATGGACATGGTCGAGGAGGGCATTGACAAGGCGCACTACAGGCAACTACTGTAGCAAGTGCGAGTACGAGGCAACACGTGCGTGGAGGCCTATACAACGACACGGAGGAAGATGGCCCGTTAACAGGGGAAGAACTGGTGCACCCGGCGAATGTCATCGCACTACAAGGAGAAGCACAGGAAGCCACATCCAGACCCAGCCAGGCAACCAGCATGGAAGATTTGCGGGAAGCGAGGACCAGGCTGAGACACGTACTGGACTTCATGGAGCAGCCAGCAGCGGGGGAAATCAGAGCAGCCATACAGGCTATTGACAGGTGGATTGCAGCGTGGTGGGGACAAGAAGAGGCCGTCCACATGGTGGAAGACAGTCAAGAAGGGCGAGAGACCCAGGGGGAGACGAAGGAGATGACAGAGACAGAGACAGCACAGGACCAGGGACCGGAAGAAGAACTGGAAGGCGGAACAGGCGAAGAAGAGGAAACGAGACCGCGAAACCATGAGGGGGAGAAGGACGGAGTTGACCGCCGGATGGAGTGAGAGAACATGACTCCGAACAACGAGACCAACTGAGTCGGAATGAAGAGATGTGTACAGAGCTTTCCAAACACATGACGGCCTGAACGGGGGAGGGAGGTTCTCTTTCAGCAAGGGTCGGTGTAGTTTCGGTGATGGCAATAGGTGAGGGGAGTTCAGGCGCGAAATGTGGAATAGCCAGTAAGTAGAGCGCGCCCCAGCATGCTCAGGTGACTAAAGCTTGAATGGGGGGAGACTTTCTACTTTAGGGGTAGTTTTACTCGCAAGGGACAGCATGTTAAGAGGGGGGCAATCACTGAATTTCACCTCGAAACCCCAGGGGGAACACCATCCCAATAGGGGAAGCGAGCCCAACTGTGTGGCGTTGAAAATCTTGGTACTGCTGAATGTGTTTGGGTATAAAACAAGGGCCGCAGTACCCCGGGGGAACGAGAAGCAGTCTCACGATAACAGTGAACTTGGGCGCGCCTAGGCGCGAGGGGGTCTCTCGGGCCCCCCCATGCCCAGCAGAAGAAGAAGAAGAAGAGATAGAGAGAGAGCGAGCCCACAACAGCACCAGGGCCGATACAAACCAGAGCGGCCCTCATAAAATGACCAATGTGTCGAGGGCCCAGCTTTGACTGTGAGACCGGCGGGCCAGCGTGGCCGGGGCCTTCCCTCCTGGGGGGCCTTTTCGTGCTCAGAAGAAGAAGAAGAAGACGAAGAAGAAGAAGAAGAAGAAGAAGAAAGAGCGAGAGAGAGAAAGAGAGAAAGAGACACACATAATTACACAGAGAGAGAGAGAGAGAGAGAGAGACACAGAGACATGGTTAACCCTGACAGCTTCAATATGCACTTGTACTCGCCACTGCCGCAAACCCGTTCGAAATCCTCATGGAAAGAAAGAAACTTCCAGCGCACAAAGGCCGCATTTTGTGCAGGGGTGTTGCTACTCTTGTGCGTCCCAGCTGCGACAAAGCCCAGGGACCATAGTTTGGTGTGCAAGCAGCCCACAACCCCGCAGCAGAAGGTTTTCCGAAGTCGGTATGCTGTAGACAAAGTGGTCCAGGTGACTGCATCTGCCCAGTGGACCTGGACGAGGACCCGCGGCAGTCAGCTGCAAAGCACTGATATGGGACCGTTTCGAAGATCCCAAAGAGGGGTTGCTGTTCAGAGGCCCCTGAGGTCCCATGCGACATGCCGGACATGCCACAGTTCTAGAGAACTAAACACAGGCCATACCGAAACCATGTCAATTTTAGTCTTTTCATAGCCATGTTCCAACATGAAGCCTGGTTCTGCAATCGACAAAATTTTGCGAATAGTCGGGGGTAGTGTGCATGTCACTCGTGTGTCGAGATAGGAGCTGTAAGAGGCCAACGCTGTGGGCAGGAGGTGTGGGTGGTGGCCGACGGCCTCCGTGCCGATCATGGAGATGAGGTCGAGGAGAAGAAGGCGGAAGAAAGAATGGTACTCCTACACGTGGCATTTCATAAGCGCAGCGGTCGTGTAGGCTTGCCCCGCATTGCCCTCAGTCCGTTGTTAAACAGGGCAGTGGGCCTGTTTAGATCAAAGTCAGCTTGCCACGCTGACATCAAGATGGCAGCATGGCAGAATGGTCGCATGTCCAACGGCCCGTAGCTCCTTCCAGCCATCTCTTGCTCCATCGTAGGTGCGCACGAAAACAGCGAGCAGGACTGGGTTGGGTTGAGGGGGCACTTGTGATTCGTATCCTGGGAGGCTGCAACACCCAAAGCCGGCCTCCATAGCTTTCATATGCAAAATGTAATTGTGCTATACTGCATGGGTATACACCTTTCGAACTGCGTGGGCTTTCTACTTTCTTCCTGGATTATGGATCTGACAGGGTTGCTTGCATATCCTCCCTGGACCGAGGGCCTACTGACCCTTTCTACCATGGCACGTCACGTGAGGAGTGTAGCTTGGATCGAGGGCGTGGAAGTCTTCGTGGAGAAGAGGTGGGCTGCAGCTTCATACCTTGCATGCGTGTGAAGAGGATGACGGGGGGGCGGGGGGGGGGAGTTCAGTGTCCCATAAGTTGCCGTGGGTTCCTGGCTTTCTTAAAGCAGTTGTGATACTTAGTTGCGCTTGGCCGGGGCCTCGAGTTCCTGTAAGAGCCAGTAGGGATAAGGAGATTCCACAATTGGCGGTTCAACAACTCCAGGCACAAGTGATTTGGACAGTAGACGGGGGGCGATGGTGATTGACATCTAGAATTTTCATCTGCAACAGGGCAGAACTGCTATAGCATACAGAGCAGAACATGCATACGGCGGCTGCGAACAAGCCTTGACGACCCCAAAGGAAGCTGAACCTGGAGCGCAACACGACGAACGTTCGAGCTTGGGCACAGCTCCTGGCACACCTGTGGCCCGCCTAGTCGATGGCTGTCTTTTGGCGACGGTATCAGTAGTTGCTAAATGCTATCTTCCCGAATGTGTGAACCACGGATGTTGTCAAGCGCTACTGCATGAGCAGGAAAGAAAGGGGGCTTCAGTGGCGATCTAAAAATGTTTAAAAACAAGCACTTGGTTAGCAAGACACTTCAAGTCGGACCATCCAGCAGCCTTCCCGGCCTAGGACAGTTGAGAAACAGCTCCTCTGAACTCCTTGCCTCCAAAAGTCATCCCGGTTTTCTCGCGAGCCATGAGCCCAACTCCCAAATCCCAGGAGCGGCTTTGCCGCACTCGAGGCTGGTGGGGAGCTGCAGCACATGGCCGCTTTGAAAGACTGGCGATCATTCTAATGCTTTACTTTAAGTATTGGAATATAGAAAGGCTCTGAAGTTCTTGGGCTGGTTGCGTAGCGTGTCAGAGGCTGGGGGGAGAGCCGAAGATGCATCCAGCGACTCAGGAGTGGTTTCGCGAGACGCCGCCTCTTTGGCCGAAGTTGATTTGATTTTTTGGGGCGAGTTTTCATTTTGCGGATCTCGAGCCTCAAGGAGATTCGTTGGGAGCCGTGCTGCCCTGTCCCTGTGGTTGGTCCAGGAGGTGATAGTGCTGATGTCTAGTGACTTTTGCTGTCAGGACCCCTGGAAGAAAGCCTAGATCATCTAGATTCTCTGCTACTCAATTCCCAGGTTTCGAGCCTTTCTGGCCGTCATCATCAACCAGGCGACAACCGGAAAGAACTCAATGAGAGACATTCCGGACTGCCACATCCCAAACATGCAGCATAGCGGACTAAGGATGCGAAGCCTGGTTCCTAGCAAAATGCCCTTGAGATTTCAGAGCACTAGTAAAGGTTGAGGCGGTTGTGTGGAGGTGAGCATCGGGGCTCTCTTCCGCCTGATGGACATGTTCCGGTTCACGGCCTCAGTTGGAGGGAGATTCCGCTGTGAAATCATTGTTTCATGTCTAGATTCTAGAAGCTCGTGGGCTGTTCATGTGTCTATCTGCACGGGAGCCCCTGATGGCCCCTAAAATTATAGGTTACGAAAACCGTGTTCGAAACTGCCGAACACGCACATGAGGATCATGCTTAGATTGAGTTTCAGCTATCTAGTCCGAACAGATGCTTCCAGAGACCGGATGTCTGGTGGAGTACGTCTACAGATCCGGAACCATATTGCTTGTCCGCTCAAGTCCCTTTTCCTGTCAAGACCAATCGCCTTAAGTAATCTTTTTCGTGTGCTGACTGGCAAATAATTTTAGACCTGGGCGGAGCGTAGCGCGACTGTCTTGGCCTTGAGGCTCTACACGATTCACGATGACGAGGATGAACGTGTGGCTCCGTTCTCAGGACATGCAGTTTGTAGAATTGTAGAAAACAGGTCCGTATGACCGGGGCTTGCCAAAACACTTCGTCGACGTCGTGTTGGTATGAATACATATAAAAGGCAGCAGGCACTTGCATTCGTGCAGTGCAGTGTAGCTCTTGTGCCACAACTTGCCAAAACAACCTCAACAAGGATGGCTTCCATTCACGCTGTGTGGACTGTCAGCTCTGAAGCTTGAAAACTCTGCCTCCGACATCTTCTCTATCGGCAGATGCTGACAGTGGCTGAGACTGTCATTGGAAAACATACCCGCTGGCCATCTCAGCATTAAGGATGCCATCTTATGTCGGCATGCAAGACAATGCAAGATAGAGTGAACAGACGATTGTGGATTCATGGAAGGCTTGCCGAATGCCGCAGGGTTCAAAGCTGCCCAGCCATGCCATGTACGGAAAGGCCATGGTTCCAGTGATCCTCCTGCTCAATGCTGTGGCCCTCTCATTGGCCAACAGTCATGCCCCGCCAGCCTGCAAGGATGGCAGCTGCCCTCAGCAGGTCGGACACATATTGCTTCAACAGCGCAGCAGCATTGCACAATCTGTAGGAGTGGTGTACACCGTGTACACCTTCGACTATCAGGGCTGCTACATGAATGAAGTGGCGGCACGAGCGAACGGCCATGTGGTCGGCATAACCATGGACAGTTGCGCGGACCTTGCTGTCTCCAAAGGGCACAACCATACATGGAGTACCCGCAAGAATTTGAGAGCGCGGCTGCGCAGTGCTTGACATTCGCCGCGGTACCATCGGGCTGGCAGAGGGCGAGTGACTCCAATTGTGAGACAGAAGTAGATGGATGGCGAGTGGCCGCGTGCCGCATTTCGGCGATGCCACACCGAGAGCACCCGTGAGGCCAATGCACTTGCTCGACAAGCCTTACTCAAAAGCACGCCTCACTGGGAATGTCCCGTAGAGGCACATTCAAGGAACTAGGTGTCAGCATGGCCGCCACGAAGTCATTGACGAAGTGAAGAATGCCATCGCAGACCAGACAGTCGTGCTGAAGCAACAGAGATCGTGAATGAGCTGCAGTCTGCCCTGCAGGAATCGACGGAGGCCCTCATGGATAAGATGCAGGAGTTCCAGCAGGAGACCCTGATCGCCATTGGGCAGCTGGCCGACAGGGACGCGGCCCGGCACCAAGAAGCGATGGACTTTCCGCGGGAGCAGGATTCGGCGATCATTACCGGCAGTGCATGGAGTATGTTTCAGACATTGTCGCCAAATATGCCGCTTATCGACGCTTTCGGGAAGGCCTGGCCCGCAGAGGCTCCCTTTCTCTGGATGAAAGCGAGGCTTGCAAGTGCTACTTTGTGCGCAACGTTGTGGTGCAAGCGCGGGCGTACGAACAGTTCTTTGGGGGAGAGGGGGTGGAGAGAGGTGGGTTTGCAGCGGCTCCTCAGGTGCGTCCTACCAACAGACATTCTCCTCTTCTTTGTTGGAGAAGTTCCATGAGGCACGGCCCGTTCTTCCCGCACTTTGCAGAGCTTTGCCCGGCGGGCACGGACGGCAGGGATGTCATTTGGTGTCATGGTATCAGAGAAGGCAGTTGCCGTGCGCGTCAACAGACTGCTTGAAGCGGGACCCATGGGTGCCAGTGCCCAATGTAACTTGGGGTATGTGGACCGCCAGTGGCACATAGATCCTTTTAAACCCCGCAACGGATACTGGAAATGCCAAGGCACTGTGGCACCTTGTGCAAACTCTCCGAATAAACAGGCCTGCGCGCTGGCGACTTACATTGACATCCCCGGCTGTGTCGAGTTCGCATTGACAAGAGTCCGCCAGTGGTCTGGGATGGGGCCACGAAGCCTGAGTCTTACACTTTCGTGCATGGTACAGGCAGCGGTTGCGGAGTCAGTGGCAGAACAGATAGTTGGATAGATGGCTATTTGGTGCTGCGGAAGGATGCCTTCTTCGTCGATTGAAGCCTTTTGACGTGGGCTTTAGCATCAGCGCGCAAAGATTTGATTTGGGTTCTGTCACAGTTTTGTCCCGGTGCTTCTCACCCGCCGCATGGCCCCTTGGAACAAGCACTACGAACGAGCCCTGCGTCATCTGTCCTGAGGCGCTGATGTAAGGACAGCTGTAGCACGGGTGGTGGAGCTTGTTGTGGGGCATGTTGCGCCATGGCACAATGCCTTTGTGCAACTTACAGGTTCTGATAGCCTTCACGAGCCTTGCGAAGACAGAGTGAGCTAGGCGCGCCCAGCATGAAATAGGGCCATTACGTTCCCGATGGAATGTTGACGTTGCGGCAAGCCAACGCAAGAAACAAAAACCCTTCTTTCCTTCTTTTCGTGCCTTTTCTTTCTTCCCTCCCTCTTTTCCCTCTCAATTATATGTACGGACCGATTTGGACAAGGCTGTTATGCCCTGCATGGGGCTTCCACACGATTTGAGCATCAGTATGAACCGGCTTTCGTGTTCCAAGAGGACAGGTCATAGGCAGAATAGCATAACTACATTTATCGTGGAACAAACTTGTTTGAACTGCAGAGATGCTCGCCAGGCCGCTTTTGAGATGATGGACTTTCTTCTACCGAGCACAAAGTGTGGTTTTGTTTGGCATCGGGGGACAGTGAAGCTTCCTTGCGATACACTTAGCTTGAACTCCGCTGTTTTGGGGCATGAAGTATTGTATAAATAAAGCAGTAGCGGTTTCTTCATTCAGAATATTCAGAGGTTCTCGAGAAAGAGGCGCAGTTACAATCGATTTGTCTCATTGCGTTTGGCTGTTTTGCCTGTCTCCCAGCGTACTCGAGAGAAGGTGATGCTCAGCGAGGCCATTGAGGAGGCGCTTGAGCGAACACCGAAAGAGTTCTGCCGAAGCACCTCCAGTCCACCGTGTTGTAACGTCGTTTCCTTAGACAGCTTTGAGGCCACACCAAGCTAATTAGATTGCTGGGCTATGCGAGCTTGGCCGTTGTCCTTTTCTGACTTCTTACATCGAATCACCAAGTCCCAAGCCCTCCGCCAAAGCAACGACCCTGACAAAGTGTGGCTAAGTTCTCGAGCAGGCAGAGAACGACATCATCAGCCTTGCCAGCTCGTTCCTCACCGTGCAGGTCCTGAGATTTATGTTGTCAGGCGGGCCAAGAAATGGGCTTTGCCCTGAACCATATCATCATGCCGGTAAGAAGTTGCCGCAGGCAAGCTCCCTGACATTGCTGCTCGGATGGCACTTGCACAAGCGCTGCGGGAAAGATGCAGTTGGATGCCCCTGGAGTTTCTTTGGGTGTCGGGCTTTGGGCTTAAAGTTCAAGTTTAGAAACTTTGGTTCTCTAGGCTGTTCATCCGGAGCTCGACAAAGGCCCCTACACCGAGTGCGATAGGCAGCAAGGTCTTCCAGCACAGAATGTATGTGTTTCAACCTTGTTGAAATCAAGCGAACTCTTTGGGTCTTGATTCTTGACAGTATCTGCTATCGTATATGGGGGCATATGGGGGAGCATATGTGATCCGTCGGCAGTCAAACCTCGAAGTATGAATCCCTGTCCCCTTTCAGACTTGAAGAGCTCTGTTTTGGACACTGAGTCTGGGCAAATCTCACCGTACCACCCCTCTGGTATGTTCGCCATCGGAATGCACCTTGGCGGGGATTCTAGGTTCAGGCTCGAGGTTTACAGAATTTCGACGCCCATCCCAGCCCCTGAAGTACACAGTGGGGCATCCGAATCATGATGACTGCGCCGGGGTCAGATCCGCTTCAAGACCGACGTGCAGGATGCAGGTTTACAGGGCCTTGGGGTTCGTCGGAAGTCTATACACAATTCCCGGAATGTGTGGGGGCTACGTGCAGGCTTCTCATCTGCGGCGTCGTTGCGCTGGTCATCTCAATCTCGCCGCCTGTCGGCATGAGCAGGAATCACATCGAAGGTGCCAGGGCATATTGTTTTTGGGAACGTGGGCATTGGGACGGTCATGACGAGAGTGGGTGATGCGCTCGCGCGCCCTCGCGGGTGTGTGTGTGTGTGTACACTCCTGATTGCAAAGGATTAAGTAAAAATAAAAAGCAGGGGGCAGCAGGGAGTCCACAGTTCTGCTGCCAACGAAGACAGCTGTGATACTCCGTGAAGCAGATTGGGACGCCAATCTGTGTACCTGCACAATCGCATTCGAGCCTTCTGTGTAGTTATGTCTTCATGATGCAACCAGAACTCGGGTGCTGTACAGTCAATAAATCTTGACGAGTCCTTCGAGAGAGGGTGCGGACGTGTGTGTTTGTGTTTGTGTTTGTGTTTGTGTTTGTGTTTGTGTTTGTGTTTGTGTTTGTGTTTGTGTTTGTGTTTGTGTTTGTGTTTGTGTGTGTGTTTGCTTTTGCACAAATCCCGGAACGCCTGACGAGTCCGAAGCCAGATGGAGCGTTGATGTCTATTCTGACTTGGCAGCATTCCATGACATTCGGATCTCTCTTGTGCATGAGGGCGTCTCCCTTCAAGGCGTGACAGAAGAGCAGTTTCATGCGGCCACTTCATCACAGTCATCACCACAAATGGCCGCGGTTTGTTGCATGTGTCGCTGCTCATCATGCCGAGCCCTGTAAGCAACGATGCCCAAACATGCTATTGAACTCCGCTGTAAACTTTGCCAGAAGTTTGGGAGCCCTCAGTCTCAGGTTGACATTCTTCCCCTGCCAGAATCGGACAGTGACCTGGCTGCCGCTCGGCCTTTTTCGAGGTCAGGCAATATTCGGCCTGGCGCCACACTCACGCGTTGAACGGGTGACGGGTGCAGGGCCCGCGGGCAGAAAGTTTTTTCTCAGCACGCCGGTGGGATTTTAGGTAGGGCTCGGCAATGAAGACCTGGATGGTTTGTACTGCTCTTCCACAAAGCTGGTCGGATGGCTGTTTGCTAACGCTGCGAACAGCCTCGCTGCTAGACTCTGGAATCTGGGAATGGCGGACAGTTAGTTTTCAGCCAGTGGAAAACAATTCGCATGCACACGCAACAGTTGCAAGTTGCAATCCGGCGCACCTGCAAGGGAAGGTTCCACACAGGTATAAGGTCCAGTGATTTTCTGTGGCATGAATCGACCCTATACCTCTTGGCAAGGACTCAGAAGATCCAAAACATCCTGGGAATGATCTTTGCATGGTGCACACTGTGGGGAGTGCACATGTTCGTCCGGGAGACGCAAGTCTTTCAGGAGCTGCTAGGCCAGGAGTGTTCAACAAAGCTTGCTGAGCTTGAGGGCCCGAACGTAGAAGTTGTAAATGCTTAGCCATGGTGCCGGATGCTGAATCTGGTACCGTGTCAGTGATCGGGAGGAAATCATTTCTGGTAAAACCCTGGCATAGCTGGAGTTGAAGCAGTGCTTCTGGCACTGCAGGTAGTTTCAAACCAACCGGTTTGGATGGTATCCTTTAGGTTGGAAGTACACTTCTGTAGGCCCCTCCTGGATTGCACATGTGCACCCGCAAGCGGCACTCCGAAGTGCGTTTCCTTGTGTGATCACGCCGGTTCGGCCTTGCTCTGGTCTCACCAGCTGGGCAGCTAAACAAGTGGCAAACATGAACCAGAATCACAAATAGGAGCAGCCTGCACAGTTGCTGTTGGGCTTTAAAGGTTTACACGTCGTGTGTATGTGCACGTAAAGGACTCAGCCTTTGAACTTTGTCGCTTCGCATGGGCACCAACACACACACACACACACCCCAACAGCCAATACCTAGCTATGCCCTGAACAGGCACAACCCTCTATCCCAACGAGCGCCATCTAGTGGCAGCGCTGGTGCTGTCGATGTGCCCCTTCGTCAGCAGAAAAGGCTGCTGTACTACCTCGCTTCGCTCATACTGTTCGGTGGCAAAGAGCGTGCGGGTCTCTGTGTTGTTTTGTTGTTGTTCGTGCCCGCTTGCTGTAGCCTCGTACTTGAACCGCTTCCGTCACCCTAGCGAAAGCCGTTATAGAGAGGCCCTGCATCTCAACTGAAGGCGCCCTGGCAGCGATCCGCGTGCTTGACATCATCCAGGATATGGGTGCTTCGTGACTTGGGGCAAAGAGAGCTTCGGGTGCAAGATTGCAGGGGCTTTGGGGTGGAGCTGCACAAGCGGGATCCAGTGTAGGTTCCGAAACACTCGAGGAAAGCAGAGAGAGAGAGAGAGAGAGAGAGAGAAACTCGAGAAAAAAAGAGGGGGAGAGAACAATTCGCGGGCGGGTAGCTATCTCTCGAGCACAACCTGTGCACCATGCACGTTTTTTGCCCTACGCCGATTTGCAGTCTTGTGTTCTGAGCCGAGGGGGTCGACGGGGCACTCTGGGGGCTTGGGGTTGATAAACAAGGGGCTACAGTAACCCCTCAAGGAGAGTCGTCCAACGGGAAACGCCGACTTCAGAAAGGCACAAAGACCCTAGCCTGCCAGCTGAAGCATCCAAAGCAGGAAAGACAGACGGAAATGAATGAAGAAACACACACACACACACCGACACACACAATAGTGAAGTAAAGTCCAAGATATATGAAATCAACTAAAGAAGAAAAGAAACAGCGACAGAAACAACCAGAGAGAAAGAGGGAGGGAGAGAGACGAAGGCAAGAAGAGAGACAGAACGACGAAATGTGCCAGAAGAAGAAGAAGAAGAAGAAGAAGAAGAAGAAGAGGAGAGACGGGAGGAAAGAAAAGAAGAAACATCAGTAGAGTAGAGCAGGAAAAAGACAACAAGGGAGAGAGAGAGAGGAATAAGCAAAGCAAATTGGGGGCCTACCGACACAAGAACCACCTGGCAGCGTGCTCGATTCTGAAGAGGGTGCCCTTCATGACCTGCTGGGAACTCCGCTGTGGGGAAGAAGAAAGAAAGAACTATAGACATTTACGACATATGCAGACAAAAAGAGACAAAAACAACGTTCATAAATCTACCAATGAGCCAATGATAAAAGATTCGCATCTTTGCTCCAACCCCTGTCCATTGTCCTTGCCGCCCCTGGGCTTGATTCCAAGATTACTGTGACCCTGTACTTGCAGTCCACAGTCCCTTGTCTTTGTATCATGCCTTTTGTGCAAAGGCGTCAGATCACTCCGTTTGCACGTTTTTCTGCGGGGGCGGCTGGGAAAGGAGATGACGGACCCCTCGCCCTCCGGGATCATTCTGTTTGCAAAAGGAGAGGGCTGCAGCCACTCCGCCCCCGCAACCCCATGAATCTCCTCAAACCCCGGTGCATTCGCCTCGGAAATGGGGCAGGCCCTTCGATCATTTTGTTGGCAATTGGGGCCGCACCCCGATTGTCTTCAAGGACATGATTCTTTCGGATCAGTCTGCGCGTGCATGGCTGCGGCTGCAACCCTAAACTTAAACCTGAACGGAAACGGAAACATGTCGGCCCTCCGCGCCTTGAATCATACTCATGCAGATGGATACTTGTGCTCGCCTGATGCGGATCATTCTGTAAGGGCAAACGGCAATGTTTGACGTGATGTCCTTCGACTTGACTTGCTCTGGCCAATCAGGTTCCCACGCGTTCTGCAGAACATGATCAATGTCTTCTCCGTGCTGATCGGAGCGGGCTGTAGAGTCGAAAGGCTTTGAAGTTAGCTTCCTGTAGGTTCGCCATAAGAACTCCTCAGCTCCGTCCCCTCAAGCAAAGACTCCACAGCTTCCTGCGTGGCAAAAGCTACCCCCCTCCGCCGCAACACCGAACCTTCAGCACCTGAGAAGTCCTCAAATGCCGTAATCTGCCGCGCAATTGCGTACAACGCGAAAGCCAGGACTCTCCTGGGAGATGTGCTTCGAGGGCGGCGTGGAGGAGCTCTCGGAGGAGCGTTTCGCGATCCCGCTGTGGTACGGACATTCCGGGCGTTGTCGATCTGACAAGATTCCAGCTGATCGTAAGTTTGGGTTTGGCTCATTGGCTCATGGGCGAACTGAGAAGCGAAGCCATCGCGTCGGAGCCGGTCTTTCTATCTTCGGGCATAAGGTGGTCCAGGATTATTGGCGCCTTGAAGTTCTGTTGTTACAGAAAGACATTTCATTACTTACCGTTGTTCGCTCATGGCTCAAGAAAAAGGGCGTGTGCACGTTTCCCTAAATATTGGGGCTGTCTGCTGGTAACAATAGGTTATCAGCCGTAGTACCACGCTAGTTTGACCACTCTGTGATGACGGACCAAGCTCCGCTAGGTCCTGCAGGCATACCAGTCCCGGACGACGGAGCGAGCAACCTGAGCATGTCCTTTGATGGTAATGCTCCAGGTGAGGACGCCGCTCCCCGGGAGGGTGAGCTCCCGTTGACCACAACCGCACTAAGGCTACATGACCATAGGCTCTTTCAGAAGGGTGCAGTTTCCGAGGCCGGTGTCACCACCGGTGCCTCGAGCCGTCAGACTGCGTCCGCGCCTTGGCAGGTTGTGTCCCCTAGTGCTAGACAACCACCGGCCAGCCTTCCGATAGCAGCCGGAGGAAGCTCATCCCAAGATATTAGTCCGTCAGCCCAGAGTCTTTTCCCACCGACCTCCTCGACTATGAACAGTTTGACAATCGGCGATCAGCGAATCCTGCAGAATCAAGCAAACATTAGCAATGTGTTTGTTCAGAACGACAGGTCGCCGTTACTCGAGCAAATAGCTGAACATCGCCACAATCAGATCATTGGTCAGATCGCAAACAATTTTCAGGAGCAACTCCAAGCAATGGGTATGAATGTCATGTCGGGAGTGTCACAACTCAGAGTTGAACTTGCTCAGGCCGAAACCAGATTAGGTAGTGAGGAGACACAGGCCAGACAGAGATTGGCAACAGGTCAGTCGCAGCTTGACTCGCAGGCCAATGAGATCAACGTGGCACGAGGTGAAGCTCAAGCTTTGGCCCAAAGACTAAGCGCTGCTGAGAGCCACGCTGACGCTGCGTGATCAACTTCACCAAGCGGAAGCTAAGGCCGTCAGCAACGCGGATCTCCTCAATGCTGAAATGGACAGTGCCCGTGTCGCCGCTGCTCAGGCAACACATGCAGTTCAGGCGACATCTGAGGTTGAGATTTCACGCTTGACTGCTGAAGTTAGGGATTTCAGGGTGATGATGAGTCACGAGTCAGAGAAGAGAAAGATGGCTGAAAAGGAGAATGCTGAACTGAAATCGCAGCTAAACCAGGCCATCGCGGCTCTGCAGGCTCATGCAAGCGCAACGGGGTCCGCCCCATCTGCGCCACCGGGTCTGATCCCTACCTATCCCATCAATACTCCGCCTCAGGACGCCAAAGGGTCAAGGCCCCGACGCCACCCTGACGGGGGAGGCCCTGATGGAGATGATGACGGCAGCGATGATGATGACTCGAGCAGCAGTCATAAGAAGAAAAAGAGCAAGAAGAAAGACAAGAAAAACAAGAAGAGGGATTCCAGTTCCTCTTCTGATCTCTCGCCCAAGCAGCTCAAGGCAATCATCAAGCAACTTGCCAAAGGAAAGACTAACGAGAAGGAGGAAGTTGATGAGGATGTAAACAAGACCAAATCCAAGGAGGCCGAGAAGATCCTGTTCCCCAAGTTCCCGACACCTGAACAGTACAGGAACTGGCGAATTAGGGTTCGTGAAGCTGTAGTTGCAGCGTCCAATAAGCCGGATGAAGCTTTTGAATGGCTTTCGAAGGTATGGGACAAGGACTCTAAGGAAGAAGAGTTAAGGGACACAGGTGGCTTCTCTACTCTCGATGCCAAGGTCTTGTCGGCAGTGACAAATGTCCTTGAAGGTGACTTCGCGCGCCAAATGGACACCCTCAAGGAGAGGGAGGCTCACGCCGGGAGGCTAGTGAGGGGTAGACAAATCCTGTTTCTCCTTCATCAGCACTTTGCTACAAACATCCTACACAATTCCGTGTATGACATGGAAGACCTCCTTTCAGTGACATTGGTAAACGAAAACCTTGTGATGTTCGTTAGGAACTGGGATACGGTGCTTTCAGGCATTCAGACCACCCCTGAAGACAAGGTTCTCGAACCGCTCTTTCATAGGCAGGTAAAGAAATGCAAAGCACTTCAGCACGATATTGCCATCTATGAAAGGGCTGCCGAAGGCTCCAGTGAAAGATCGTTTAAATTTCTCTACGACGCCGCCAATAGCCACTTGAATCGAAAAAGGCTCGAGAGGAACCGGGAGCGGATTGCCAAGCAAACTGGAGCTCCTGCTGTTCCTACTGCGCCTGCACCCAAGAAAGTACCCAAAGGGTTTTGCATCTCTTTTGTCAAGAACGGCAGTTGCAAGAATGGTGGCAGTTGTAAATACAAGCACCAGACGCCCAGCGGACGTGGCAGATCGCAGTCACCCGGCGGAGGCCGAGGGAGAAGTCCTTCAAGACCCAACTCCCCGTCAGGAAAGCCTCGAGTGTGCAAGTTCTACAAACAAGGTCGTTGCGACCGTGGAGAGAATTGCAAATTCATGCACACCGGAAAGCCAGGTGCCGCTGCTACACCCGACGGAAGTCAGAAGGGATCTGCGCGCCCTGACAAGGGCAAGGACAAGAAGAAGAAGAAGGAACGCAAGGGCTCCAGGGCTAGCTCCAAGGGTTCTAAGGGAAGCAAGGGTTCGAAAGGATCACATGGCTCCGGGAACTCGAAGGGCTCAGCTCGAAGGAGGAGTGGCGGACCTTCTCTCCCTGCAGCAGTTTGCCTTCTAGGAGCAATGATGGCCGGCACGGCTTCCCAAGCCGACGCTTTTACTCTCCGGAAGGATGAGTCGTACTGGCCCCCTCAGTGTTCCACTGACATGCGTTTGGCGCTACCAGCAGTGTCTTTTGACAACAGCCCAATGTACATCAACTTCCCACTCAGAGATGGAGAGCTTAAGTTCCCTGTTGAGAATCCTCAGCGCAGGTATGACAAGAAGTGGTCTGTTGACTACATTCCCAAGCCAGACAATCAATCCACCAGAGATGCACTTATGGCCGCTCGCATGTTGAGAGCTACGGTCAAAGACAGTCTGGAGGACAAACCAAGCCGTTGCAATTACTGTTGCGATACGGAGTTTGGTTGCAACTATTGCATTCCAAAAGGGTTGAGAGTGTCTTGTCCCGCTAAGGTTCAACTATCATCAGAATCGCCACCCATCGAATGGATTGGTGACACAGGGAGTGCTCAGGATCTCATCTCAGAGCGGGAGCTTGTGAATCTGCATCCGTACGAATCGGACTGCCCAATCAACATTTGCACTGCGAATGGACCGAGTTACGCAGGCACGCAATGTGATGTAGGGATACCATCCCTCAACAGCATAGCCAAGCCTTATGTTCTCCCCGACACTCCCAATGTTCTTTCAGTAGGACAGAGATGCATGGATCTGGGTTACGACTTCATTTGGAAAGGATTTCAGAGACCCTATTTCAGGAGTCCGGGAGGTGACAAGGTTTTCCTTGATGTGAAGGATAACGTTCCGTACTTGAAGTCTTGGAAGGAGGGTATCGCTTGTCCTGCCCATTCAAGACACGAGTCTACTCGGATCGATACGGATGATGCTGTTGAGACCATCACCAACCCTGAACAGATTGCCGCGCAACTTATCCAGGAGCAGGATTTCTCCCATCAGGCATGCTTGCGATTGCTGAAGGACTCAAACTTTAAGCAATCTAGGTTCAACAGGAAAGCCATCAAACCGAAGGACAGTAAGGACTCGAAGTACATGATTTTCGGGGCTTTTTCACATGGGGGGATGCAAGGGATAACCAATCGCACTCATTCCTACCCCAAGGTGATTAAGTACCTTCTGTCCTATCTTAAACATCATGGAGCGGATGGCCCAATAACATCGATTGCTGTCAATCAGAACTCAGGCGTTAAAATGCACAAGGATGTCAACAATCACCGTGAACACCTCAACTACACCATTGCAGTCGGCGATTTCACCGGAGGCGAATTGTGGATTCACGATGACACCATCCGGAAGGATGAGCCAGGTTGCATCAACAAGATCGCCCCCACTGGTGCCAAACTGGGAGGTCGTTTGCACAGGTCGAAGTCGAAGATCATTTCCTTCGATCCAAAGACTTTCCATTGCGTCACTCCCTGGAAGGGCGAGCGTTGGAGCATCACGGGATACGTCAATCGCGCTGTGCACAGGCTGGATTCGCATCAGCTAGAGAAGCTTAAGTCACTGGGGTTCTTGCTGCCGAAACAGAAGAACTTCCCTCCAGCAGTGCCTGCGGAAATCGATGAGGAGATGACTCTTTACGAGTTAGCTACTATGGATCCTCCAGCTCCGGCCCCAGAACCGAAAAGCAAGCCTAAAGTGAAGTTGAAAAAAAAGCCTGAGGAACCCTCAGACAAGAAGAAGATTGCCAAAGAAGCCTCCAAAGCCGAACCACCTTCGGATGAACCAGATTGGTCAAAAGTCGAGGGGTTATTGAAAGAAGCTGTTGCCCCCATCCCTTCATCTCCGGATGAAGAGTTCCTTGATAAAACGGAACTGATCAGGTCGCCGAAACCCGATTCAGGTGAGCCGAGCGTCCTCCCTCCTCCTCCGGAAGGAGAGAGGCATGCTCCAGATGGGGATCCTGGTGAGGGTAGTGGTGGGGAAGGCAAGAGGTCGAGGCGCATTGAGAATTTGAAGAAAGAAGCCAAGTCAGCGGCGCATCTCATGACGCACCTTCCCAAAAATCCATTCTGTGATGTTTGCCAAAGAGCTAAGATGTACAAGCCGCCTTCGTACCAAACGGATGGCTGGCACAGCGTCGAAGCTAAGGCGTTTGGAGACCATATCACTGCGGATCACATCATTGTGTACCGTGATAGGGATACGGTTATAGAAGAATCCAGATTGGCCCTCGTACTGAAGGATGTTGCGACTTCTTTTACGTATGCCTACCCTTCAGCACTGAGGTCAGAGGATGAGTGCATTGCAGCATTGCAACATTTCGTTTCCTCCTCTGACGAGGTAGGGGTATTCTACAGCGATCAAGCTAAAGAACTCATCTCTGCCGCCAAGTTCTTAGGTTGGAGACATGAACAATCCAAAGCGTATATTCATCAATCCAACGCGATCGCAGAACGCGCAGTGCGCGCCACCACCGAGGGTACTAGGAGCAATTTGCTTCAGGCCGGGCTCTCGCATGTGTACTGGCCACAGGCTCTCGAGCATGCGTGTACCGCTGTGAATATAAGTAACCCCCATGGGGCGAAGTTTACACCGTGGTTCAAGCGTTTCGGGAGCCAGTTCCCGGGAAAGGTCATTCCCTTTGGTTGCAGAATCGACTATTGGGTTGGACCCAAGAAAAAGCGCAAGAATCGTGAAAGGTTCGAGCCAACTGCTGAACCAGGTGTTTTCGTGGGATATCATTTTCAGCCGGGCATGAAATGGAAGCACGAGGTATTGGTTCTTTCACTGAAAGAGTTAAATCGACAGGACTTCCATGAATGCATCAAGCCCATAAGAGCATACCAGTTCAAGGTGCCTGAAGGTGATTTCACTTTTCCCATGAAACAGAGGTACGAACGTGTGCAACAAGGTCTCGCTGCCGATGCCCTCGAGCGACCAGCGACGGAGTCACTCCACAATCAGGACGCTGAGCCCTCAGCTGAACAGGCCGCTGAAGCTTCTGACGCCGACCGGAAGGTTGAGCCCCCTAAAGTTCTTCACCCCAAAACCGGCAAGGAGATTCCTCTGCCGGAAGGTGGGAGGTACTATGATTCGGGGGGTACACTAGGTCGTCGCTACGGGGGGACTAGAGGTTCTAGAAAGCCGGACAGCATTCCGAGCGATCTATGGGTCCGTCTCTCTAAAGCACAAAAGGAGAAGGCCATTGATGATGAGGCTCGAGAGCAAGCTTTGAGAGATCTCGAGGCCCGAGAAACTCCCTCGTCAAGTAGCAGCGCCAGGCCATCTGCAGTAGCTAATCCGGTTAAAGATGAATGGACAATTCGGGGGGATAAGCTCATCCGCTTTCACTACTCTCCGAGACGTGAACTGTTCTCCCCTCATCTCACTGATTGTCCTGTTCCTATCTCCGCTCTTGGTAAAGAGAGATTGACCAAAATCATGCCAATTGGAGGTAAGGACATCATAGCCGATTGTGATGAATGGCGTCATGTACGCAAGCGCAACAAGAAGCTCAGCTTCAAATGGGTTGGTCGTACTGAGTTCGACATCCTTACCAAACCCCACACTTCGGAAGAAGCTGTTAAAGATTTCCCATGTATGCCTACGGTTCCCATGTCCAATCATCAACATAGGGACAAGATCCCTGTTTCCCGCGCTCTTACTGCCGAGCAAGTTCAGGAAGCTATGGCTATGGTTGCCAGGCCAGTAGGAAGAAAAGAGCTGTTAGCTGATCCTCAGGCCCAAGCTTCTCTTGACGTTGAATGGGAAAAGTTGATGAAGAAGAAAGCCTGGGACATGTCATCTGTTCGTGAATGGGAAGAAGTCTCTAAAGAGGCAGCCAAAAGAGGAAAGAAGGCCCACGTTGGCAAAATCTTTGAAATCTGCGTGGAAAAGGGCAGTGAGCTTCCTAAAGGGAATCCCTTACGGAAGTTCAAGGGTAGGACCGTCTTTCAGGGCAACAATGTGAAGGACGAGAACAATGACACCGCTCTCTTTAGTGAGCTGGGCTCTAGTCCCGCCACCATGGAAGCGGGTAAGGTTCTCGACGCCTATGGCCATGCCCCCGGCCACGATGTGGAACAGGGGGATGGTAAACAGGCGTACACGCAAACGACTCTGAAAGGCGCTGACACTTGGGTCAGGCTCCCACGTGAGCGTTGGCCTAAGGAGTGGGTCGGCAAGTTTAGGGACCCCGTCGTCCGCCTCAGATTGGCTCTTTACGGGCACCCAGACAGCGGGGGCTTCTGGGAGCAACATTGCGAAAAGCGCTTGCGGGAGGTTGGTTTTGAGCTCGTGTTTCCCGCTGCATGGCCATCTGTCTTTTATCATCCCACATTGAAGCTTTTATTAGCCGTGTATGTAGATGATTTCAAGATGGCCGGGCCAAAAGAGAACCTAGCCAAGGGTTGGGAACTCATCGGCTCTCGCATCGATATGGATACACCTACTCCCATCGGAAGATATCTGGGATGTGAACACTTATCTCAGTCTTCATCGCTTGGAAAAGCCGATCATCCTTTTGCGCATGTCTTCGACAAATCCCTTCCTGATCCCGCTGCCAAACCTGCCACTGCCGCAGCCAAAGAAGATTTCACCGAATACTACCCTGAAGAAGGGATGGTTGTCCGACATCACGTTCAGCCCCGCAAGGCGTTGTTCAAGCCTCGCGCGGCGGAAGCCGTCGCACTTGACCTTAGTCCGCACAGACTCACATTGATGCGCCCTCTAGGTTCTGAGGCCGCGCCAGACGAGCTCTGGGACACGGGGGGTGCTAAGCACAAACGTGATCACTTATGGACAGGTGCTACTTATCTTGCCGCCAACGGTCACACCGAGCGTTCCGCAATGGCAGCCGTGAAAAAGATTAGAGACAAACTTAATGCCAAGAAAGCAGCCCGCAAACACGCTTTCTATGATGTCAATCAGTTGAGTGATCATCAGGGTTGTATGTATGCTAAGACCAGACAAGTCGTCTATGACATGAGTTCCTTCTTGCAGCAGGCCATCGACCGCTACAAAGAACTCACTGGTCCCGAGTGGCATAACCTTAAAAAGGTATCAACGCCCTTCTATGATGACAAAATCGCTCGCCCCACTGACGCGGAGGCTGAACCCAAAGGCAAGCTTGCTCCTATTGCGAGTCGTGTGCTCATGAAGTTGCTGTTCGCAGCAAGGATGGCTCGTTATGACTTATTACGTGCTGTCCAGGGTTTAGCTAGCCGGGTCACTAAGTGGTCTGCCGACTGTGACAAGGCACTGCACAGACTCATGTGTTATGTGGCGTCCACTCTTGACCATCGAATGACCTGCTTTATAGGAGACTCCCTTGATAAGTGTAAGCTCTGGCTGTTCGCTGATTCTGATCACGCAGGCGAACATGACAACAAAAGCACTTCAGGAGGTTTCCTCGCGTTGGTAGGACCCAACACCTACTTTCCCTTGTCCGCTTTTAGCAAAAAGCAAACGAGCACCGCGCTTAGTTCCACTGAAGCAGAAGTCGTATGTGCGAACGTTACTCTGCGAGCCTTGGGTCTTCCTTCATCTGCACTATGGAGCGTGCTCCTGAACGCGGGGGGGGATACAGCTCCCAAGCCTCTTCGTAGTGACATTGCTAAGCACGATTTCAAACCCAAATCTTATCCTTTCCAGGGAATCTCGACCATCAACAAGACAGGACGTCATCTCCTTGCAGACGGAAGGATTGTGGAGTTTTTTAGCAAAAGTAGCTCTTTACCCTTTCCCGTTGAGCTGACTAGTCACCCTATTAGGGATCTTTGGTTACTCCAAAAGGGGAAGTGGACTTTGCATCAAAGGGCGGTTGCTTGGGAAGAATTGGATGAAGACGAACGCACTCTGCCTCCAGATGATTTCGAGTATGGCATCCTCGTGTATAGAAGGTCCACCGCAGAATACCGCCGCCACGCGGAAGCGGAGGCCATCCTTCAGAGGGAAGCCGAGGGCATAAGGGGTTCGGGGGGTGGTGTCGATACTGAGGTTGGAGTCACTAGGAAACCTTGCGACTTCGGACTAATAATGTCTGTGCCTCATTCGATTCAGCCAGTTGTCTTAGAGGATAATCAGGCCACCATCCGCATCCTAGAGTCTGGAAAATCCCCAGCCTTCCGTCATTCTGACAAGACTCAAAGAATCAATTTAGGATGGATCGCAGAGCAGTTTCGTAGGAAGCACTATGACCTTGCTTACATCAACACCAATCTTCAAGCTGCTGACATCCTTACAAAACCCTTTACCAATGCTGAAAAGTGGCGAAATGCCTTGCTATTGATGGGAATCACTCAGCGGAAGCTCGAGAGCCGTAAGGCTACACCGGCCAGCGTTCCGCCACCCGCCGTTGCGAGCGACTCGAGGCCCGACAGCAAAACGAAGCGGGTCATTATAGAGGTTTGCTGTAGTGATGACTCCATCATTGGGGAAATAGCTCATCATGAGTTTCCCGAGTGTAAGGTAGTTAGAGTCACCGAAAGCATGGACCTTAACTCACCAGATACCCGTAGAGCCATCATCGACATTGCTAAAGAACACCACCGAGCTGGCGCTCGTGTTCTAACATGGGTTAGCTTGCCTTGCACTGGTGGCAGTCAATGGACTAGAATCAACCTTAAGGTTCCCAAAAATAGAGATGCTGTGCTTGATGCCAGAAGAAAGTTCAAGAAGTTGTGGGCATCATTCGTTGATCTTTCTCAGGGCCTTGATAAGGCGTCCGTCGACTACTGTGTTGAATGGCCAAGGGACTGTGAGTATTGGGGATGGGACAAAGTGAGGAAGTGGCTTGATAGGCATCCGTTTGTTTATGCCAAATTTGATGGTTGCAGGTTCGGATTGCATAACAAGAAGGGTGTTCCCGTGAAAAAGCCGTGGTGTGTTGCCACTACCCTTCAAACAGTGTACAATCGTCTCAATGACAAAAAGTGCACTCGTAGCCACGAGCATGCTAAATGCCTGAAGGAATCAGAAAATTACAGTAAACCTCTTGCACGGGCTATTCACAAAGCCTTTAAGGAAGTGAACTCCTCTGCAGCGGCTAGATCAAGCTCCCCTGTAGTCCCAGCGTGCCCAGCCATCATCACCTCGCCGACCATGACCGAGTTTCTGACTGACGAGGAACGCCAGCAGCGTGTCGCGGAGTTCAAGCAAGCGCTAGTGGACCCCGACCGCCTGGCTGACGCCATGGCTGGCATCCTTCTTCCACGGAGTTTCAGTGACCTGGCGGAAGCTGTGGTTGAGCCACAGGATGACGATGCTGACGACGACTTATTTCTCGGCACAATTCCCATCTACCGCTGGCGGGAGCTGCGTGAAGAGGACCCTTCGTCCCATTGGACGGTGCTTTACGAGCGATTCTATCGCAAGCACGGAGTCCGTGTGTTTTCGGAGACCGAGATTGATGCCTCCGTGCTTCGTGACTCCACCCTGGGGGGTTGGATACAGATCCTTTACCGACATGCTCAGGATCTGGCCACCCTGGCGTTTGGACCGAAGGCGGGCGGTGCAATCGATTCCACTAAGCACTATGACATTTGCCGCAGAATTGCCAATCTTAGCGTAGGCGCTTCCGACTTCCAATATTTTGCGAAGACTTCGAGTCTTGTCGAGAAGCTCTTTACTCCTGCCCTTCAGCGCATTTCACTCCCTCCGGAAGAGAGGCGACGGTTCTTGATCGTCGGAGACTCTTCCCTTGCGTTGTGCCATTACACGGGGCGGAAGCCTACGCACCGCATGACCATTGAGCCGCTCATGCAAGACGTTTTCAGGAACAATCCAGAAGTGGAGAGCCTAATCTACTCAATGAAGTGGGGGTATCACCTCGACCAGCTCATCGATGAGGCGCTCAAGCACCTTAACGAGGCGAGGGATCACCACCCGGAAGGGGCGGCTACCCACATCATTTTTGGATGGTCAGGAAACGATGTATGGGGCCAACACGGCTATCATGGCTACACTTGGCATCTTCAGAGCAAGTTCACAAAGCGAACAGCCGAGGAGCTCGAGCAGATTGACACTTGGCCTGCAAAGCAGAAGCTTCGTGTTGATCGGGCGTGTGAGAGAGCGTGCAAGCTCCTCCACCGGACTGACGTCTCGGGTGTGTCTTTCTTGATGGGCAGCCATCACTCCTGTTTCTTCCCGGTCGGGGAGCTCTATGACAGGTGCATGAAGAATCACGCCCGAGATCTGATGAGCGGAGGATGCACCATCATTGACCCTGTGGAGCTCTATGAGCAGACCAGCAGGCCTGATGGCTTCCACGCTGACGCGTCGGATCAAAATCTGCAGAGCACCCTTAGGTGGCACGCGGCGATGCTCCGCGGCATACTCACAGATTACCGCCTTCTCGCTGTTGAGCAGCAACTCATCGCAAATCAAAGAGAAGCCGTTTTTCATGCACACTTTGTGTTGAACAAGCCCGAACCGTTCCTCACCGTGCCCCCTGCGTCCGGTAGAATCCTTTCCAAGATTGTCGATTCACCGGACCCACCTCTGGCGAGGGAGGCAGAAGAGGAGATTGTGTTGGCCGGTCCACTCCTGGCGGAGGCGGAGTACGAAGTTGTCGACGACGACTCGGCTCAGAGCTGCAATCCGCAGCCCATCACTGAGTTAGACTTTGCCAGGAATGACACCAGGCCTGGCGCAGGTTGCGTCCTCGCGATTGAAGACAGCGACCCGATCAACGTGGTTGCTGAGGAACACCTCGTCATGGCCAACCAAGCGGCAGAGGGCATCACGCAGGAAGAACTCACCGCGGTCGCGGCTGAAGAGGAAATTACCCTCCTCAGTCAATTCGTGGAGCAGGATGATGATCCATATGAGAATGCCGACACCTACTCCTTGAAGAGAGCTGAAGTGGTCGCGCCTCCTTCTCCCGTGGTCGTCATCAGTGACCCCGACGCCCCTCAGCCGAGCGAGGCCGTTTCTCAGGCACCCCTTGTCCCCAAGGCAAAGCCGAGGCCTCCCACGCTGCCGCGTTGGGTTACTGCCGATCAGCTCCCCGATCTGCCGGATGATTACCGTTTCCTCACGGAGAACGCCCGGGTCTGCTTGTCGAAGAAGATGTCCTTCCTTGCCCGGGGATTCGCCAATCGGCGAGCGCCAGAAATGGCGGTCCACATCTCAGCCAGGGACAATTCTATTGAATGGTCCGAATTTTTCGAGAAGTTGGGAATGATGTGGAGAGGCCTCCGTGTGGAGCACGTGGTGGACGTCCTCAAATCCACTCACGACAAAGTGCGGTTCGAAGTCAAGGTTGTCATTAAACCCGACAGGGAGGTCCAGCTGCGTGCCTTTAGAGCGATTCAGGGGCACGACGGCATACTCCTCTCGGAAGAGACGGACGTGATGGCACTGAACACCCACTCGTACCATCTGTCCTCTCTTTGGCAACCCAATTTGGCAAACAGGCCCAGGGTGGGAACCACTGGTTACACCAGCGAGGCCTTCGAAAGCATGCCAAAGTTGGCTTACCACGGCACGTATCGTTGCTATCTGCACTCCATCGTTCGAGATGGTCTCATCCCGGGAGGGGTTGCTGCAGATGGAAGTGCCAGCCGTTACTTCGTGATGATGTCTCCCGTACCGGCGTGGCAGAGGGAGAGTCATGCAGGCGTTCGTGAAGATGCTGACATTGAATTTGTCATCGACCTGCAACTCGCAGCCCTGGAGGGCGTGCGGATCTTTAGATCCAAGGCAGATGCAATTCAGACACCTGACTGGATTTCCAACAGGTACATTGTTTACTGCTATGATCGCCACTCCCAGGTTCCCATCTGGCACAACCGTGTGTACGAGCTGCTCCGCGTCCGACTGCACAATGCGTGCAAGGATGTTCACGACGGGCGGGAGCCGCGTCCAATCTTCGAGCAGGGCCATTTGGACGATTGGTCGGAGGAGGGTTGCTACCTTGACTACCTCGAAAGCCTCCAGACCAGGCTCAACTTCCATGAGTACCGGCACTACATCACTGACATGACAAGGCCGTACCAAATCGCCCATGAAGAGAACCTCACGGTTGAAGATGAGATCATCAGGCTCGAGGACCTCAAGTTCGCCGACAACGCACCGCGGCCCGAGCCACTGGCGGAAGCCAAGTGGGGTTCCACGCTCAAGGTGTGGTTCTCCGCAAAGGGCATCCGAGTGGATCGAAAGTACCGCTCCGAGCTCGACCATTTCATCGTCCAGGAGCTTGTTTCCTTTCCCTGGTTTTACTGCACCAGTTGCCGTAAACATTACATCGATGGAATGATTGAGTGCCAGTTCTGCGGCTCCAGAATCGCAGCTGAGAGTGACATGGCACATGTTGCCGAACCCAGCAAACGACGCCTGGAGTCCTCCCGGAAGGGACGGAACATCGACATCATGTCGATCGCCCCCCGGCCGGGGTTGGCAATGAACCGGCACCGTGCAGAGCGAGGAACGCGCGAAGCACAAGATCAAAGTCTCCCTGCAGCAGTACGCAGCAAATGCGTGAGCATGAGAAAATCGGCAATGAAGAGGGGAGGCCAGTCGATCGCTGACGCTCTCACCAATCCCCTCGACGCCTACAATTTTGCGTCCCGTGGTATGGGTATCACTTCATTGGCCCAGCTGGACATGTTCGCCCATTTGCACAATCCAGCACCCGGGGCTGATGCCAACGAGAGGAGAGCATTCGCTGGCACTCACCGGGCTGACGCCAGAGTCTCAATCGCCTATCGTCCGGGAGACGACCGAGTCTCATTGGATGAAGCTTTCTTTGTGGCCTTTCAGTCAAGGCTCTATCTCATTGATGAGATATCCATGATCATCTATGCCACCCAGCAGTCCCCGGAAGGGCGACAGAGACCCTTCACGATTCTCTCTTACGATGGTGACTTGTTCACACCAAGGGTAGGCACCGTCTCAGAAGTGATGGCGGAGGTCAGTCGTTTCTTCCAGGATCAACTTCCCCTGAGCGGAAGCCGTCAGGATCCTGCACCACGCCACGTGGACTTGGCTCGATCTCTCCGCATCCCTGACGGGTTTGCTTGCCTCGGTCAGACCCAATTGAATGAGCTGCTCCGCGATACCAGGTTTTACCAGCGGTATCTGCACTCCAACCGTGTCGAGCCGGAGTGGATTCGTCCCACGAGAGCGTCCTCACTCGGAATGATGCGACCTCCTCCTCCTCCCACAGCTGATCGCAGAAGCTCAGCGCCGGCCCGTCGCCCAGCGGAAGCTGAAGGCTACCGCCCACCGACAGCAAAGTACGGGCCTTCTATGGGAGCGAGGGAGCGCACGCCGTCAAGGGCTACATCGAGGGGCAGATCTCCAGGTCTCAGCTCAGCAATGCCTGCGAGGCCACCGCCACAGCGCAGGGCTTCGACCCCGCGGCCTCCGCCAGTGCGACGCCCGGGTTCCCCTGGAGAGGTGCGCACATCCCGCAGACGCGTGGATCCCACTGGACCAAGCATGACGGAAGGAGAATGGTTGGCCGAGAGGCGCAGCCGAGTCGATGTCGAGATTGGGAAAAGGCTCAGCATTCTTCAGGAACTCTTTGCTGACCTTCCAGAGCACTACCCTTTCGACCATGATGGTGATCTCATCGACCCGACGCGGACGCGCTCGAGCACCTGGACCCTTCTTGACGGGTACTACTGGGCCATGCTCAAGGCCCGGGATGCGCACTGGGTGTCGGAAGAAGAGGTGGTGAACGCCCTTCCTGCTTGGGGAAACCCAGGGGGGATCGTCGTCTACGACTACGACCACGTGTTGTGGTATCTCAGAGGATGGAAACACCACGTCACGAATCCACACACTGGTGTGCAAGAGAGGCGGTACTAAGGCCTAAAAGGAGGCATGGTCAGGGTTGCACACTCCACCCTGACGGGTCGGATTCGCCGACCCAGCACTTTTGAGCAAATTGTTTTCGTTCTTTGCATTTCTGATTCCATCAGCCTACGTGTGTGTGCCCGTGCGCCGCACTGCATCTCCTTCGCCGCTCTGACGAGCTGGCTACACAGTAGCAGTTGTAGTCAGTTTCTATCCTCAGGGTAACAGGTGAAGAGCACCTCCCTGACGGGCTGGATTTATTTTCAGCTGGTTATGTGAGGTGAAATTTCCTCAAGATGCAGTCGTTTTGCGTACTAGGTACGACTGTAGCGAACATCGTTTGTCTTTCCTCAACTTTTGACGCCTCTTACGTTGCACTAAGTTGCGCGGGGGGTGTTGTTACAGAAAGACATTTCATTACTTACCGTTGTTCGCTCATGGCTCAAGAAAAAGGGCGTGTGCACGTTTCCCTAAATATTGGGGCTGTCTGCTGGTAACAATAAGTTCTTGCCCGTGCCCCACCCCACCCCTGCCCAAACAACCATAATTAGTCATTTTTCCCACAGCCCGACGTGCCCCACTACACTCCCCAAGCAACCACAATCTTACCCCAGCTCCCACCATCTGAGTGGAGCACCCTGCGTCGTGCGCAGCGCTTACCCGACAAATGTCCAACAGGAGACCACCCATCCGAACACGATGAAGCTGGTCTTCACGATCTGTTCCACGCTTCGCACAGCCTCGAACTTCCTCAAACCCGGGTCTCGCGCTGCCTTTCCCAATTTGGGACTTTTGAGATGATTGTGGAGACTTGATGGTACCCGGTTCAGGGATTGCAGGACAAGATTCGCATAGTAGGCCAGCTAGAAGCCTGGCCCTGAGATGCCTACTGTCCAAGTCTTTTGGCGCCATTCGTATACCGATCCCTGGAGAGCAAAATCCTCAGCCCTACAGTAGGCGAGTTTGGATTGCAGTCGCGCTTCGCTCCAGGACCTTAAGTTAAAGCTTCTGGACCTTAGGTGCTGTGGCGATTGTGCTTCCCGCTTGGCGAATGCACCTCTGCGAAAAAAGTTCAATGTTCACTTTGATGTGTCGATTTTTAAGCTGCTCCGCCCTGAAGGGGTGTACTTGAATGATCGGGTCGTTGCTGGAATATTCAGCCAGTCTTCGTGCCTCGAACCCTGGATGCAGGTTTATTGTCCTGCGGGTCATGCACCTCGAAAGAAAGAACAAGGACCCACGATCCTAGAGTAGATGGACAAGCCAGAAGTTTAAACTTAGCCACCGACGCAACAATGCGGGCCTTGAACAGTGGTTCGGGTTAGTAACATGCGGCTTTCGTTCACAGGGCTCGATCTGTGTAGCGGGATGGCGAGATAGGGGAAAGGTTGGAGTCGCAGCTGCATGTCATCTAAATCTAGGGAATCTAGGCCACTAGAGTTATAGGCATCACCCGCACAGCCCCGCAGGAGCGGCAAGATGCCAAGGCCAAGGCAAGGCATCATTCCAAGAATTCTGCACGAAGAACCCCGAAACACAAGCCCGCGGCACAGCTTGCGAGCCCCTGAATCCTGTAGCTGCAGCTTTCAACTCATGATCATCAGCAAGCGCAGATTGCCCGTGGCGAAGACCCCGCCGGCTATGCCCTGATGGCTCCAACTGCTTCCCCGCGGGCTCAGGAGGAGCGGCTCAGGTTTATGGGTTTATGGGTTTGTGCAGGCCTATATGCAACAGTACAATTGCTTGGACTTCGGAGGTCTTGGAGAGGGGCACAGTGTGGGAAGCTATGGTAACATGCGTTCTTTGGTACGGGAGCTCAGGTGAGGTTTTCGGGTGGTCGGTCATGTGTTCATAAGGCGCAGAGCTTTGTGCTACATCTAAAAATTCGAAGCTAGGATTGTGAGTTGGAGAACCAAACAGGACCAGGCAGGGTCTTGCAGTTTGACGTTGAACCGCTGCTTGCTTCTGCTCGCTCGTAGCGGCAGAGGCAAGCCCAAGCACCTGATAGCCAAGCCTTTTGCATTTGCCTCGCAGGAGCTGGAGATGAAGCAGGACATGGCACACAAAAACTATCGGTCATCCGGATGCTGGTAATCAGCGTAGCTGCAGAATGCAGGGGTCTTGTTGAAGAACGGCAAAGTCCCCTTTCGACCATGCTGCTGTGAAGGTGTCAACGTCCACCTCAGAGCACTATAGGCTGTCTTGTGTTATGAGAGTTTCCCCAAAGACCAACCCCGTGATATGAGTCTTTTTCATGCTTTCCATCATCCGGCATCCTCCCCGAAGAATCCCCAAAGCCATCCACATCGTCTCACTCCGACTCTGACTAGCCTGCGGCCTTTTGCAGCGTTCCACAGCCCAACCTGGCGCCGTTCCTGGCAGTTTTTTGTGCTCAGACCGATAATGTTGTTTTATGGTGATGTGATGATGGGCTGGCCAGCGACTCTGGATTGCTGCAAGAGCTCGCGGGCCGTTTAAACATCCCGTGCTACATTGGTAATGCCCAGTTCCATTCAACTTGTCGTTCTATCAGAAGGCGTTTGGAGATGTGCAATCGAGGCGGCCAAAAACCGTGTCTATGGCGCAGTCAGATCCCTTCAGAGCGAGAGAGAGAGAGAGAGAGAGAGAGAGAGACATAGAAGGTAGAAAGTGCAGAAAGAGAAGCAGAAGAAGACGAAGAAGTAGCAGAAGAAGGAGAGAGAGAGAGAGGGACCGCTCCCCTCAAGCCCCGAAGAAGAAGAAGAAGAAGAGAGTGAGATACAAAAATGACACAAAACAACAAATATGAAGAAAGACATAAAACAAAGAAAAAAGCAAAGAAATACAGATCGATGATGAGACATGTCTCTGAATAAGCGTCGCTGGCGACATCATTAAATTGGCGGAAAGATAAGCTTCCTGCTTTCAGTTGCGCTGCTGGTCTCCGAGCCTGGTCCCTGGAGTGTCCACCCTCAGAGAAGCTGACAGAGAGTCCCGCATCGCTCCGGCCGCTGGGAGGGTCCGAGGGTCCCGCTGAGCATCCTTGGCTGCAGAGCGTGTCCCTGGAGTGCTCATCTGCAGGTCAGCTCGCAGATAGTCCCGCCGAGTATCCCTGGAGCGCTACCCCGCGAGAATTCCGCGGACAGTCCCGCGACAAAAGTTATACCTGTCCGAAGCCGGCAGGATTGCTCCCACATCGATTAGGATCGAAGTAACAATGTAACATTTATCCAAACACCATGCAGTTTATTCACGCAGTTTCCCTGGCGTTCGCAACCTGAACACCAAAAACTGGGAAGCTGCTGCGCTGAAGTAACTACATTGAATTGCCTTGCTCAGGTGCCTCCAGGTGAGTGGCCTTTTTTGTGTCCAGCGTCAAGATGACCGGAGACGAGGGGGTTTTTCCATCAAATCAAATCCTCTCTTCCGCGTTCTTGATCAATGGCGCCGGACGTGGATTTGACAAATAAGTACTGACAGCAATAGCCTACGAGTCCCACTAAACCCCATCGCCCTACCCCCGTGGGTTTCTCACCTTTTTTTGCAGAACCGGCCCAGTTTTCCTGCTTTTGTTTGAGCAGCCAAGCACGGACGAAGTGCAGACTGCTTGGAAGGGCTTCCTTTGTAAGTCTTGTACATACAGAATGAGCCATTAGACAACCAGCTAAATCTGCCCATGGAGAATCCAACTGGTTGCTTGCATGTGGCTGTAATTGCATGAGTTCATGGCCTTCGCTAGGGAACTTCCACAAAGACCGACATTGCTTCGCAAGACTGCCTAGCGGCACATTGCAGAGGTATCAAGCCTGCACTGTATACCCTCCATTGCAAAGCAGGGTTGCACTGAGCCTTACTCCCGAATTCAGCTTGTCCTGAGGCCCTGGTCCCCCGGCTCTGCCCACTGGTCCTTTGGTCCCTTTGGCCCGGTGACCTTTGAATCCACGAAAGCACTCGGCCAGGTGAATGCCTCTACGGACATTGTTGCAAAATGGAGAGGGTAACAGGGGCTGCGCCCCTCATTCTTTTCCACAAACCGGGCTTTAAATTTGCTCGATGGAAAGTCTTTCGTGTTTTCGTTTCTCTTGCGCCACGTCTTGCTGCAAAACTAGATCACTGGACGCACCATCTTGTCCCCACTCTTGTCTCTCTTCCTGTCTCCCTTCAAATGAAGAGCCAAAGCACTGAATGCGTCCCTCTCTCTTCCCGACCTGCTGCACTTTTTGTCGGTTGTGCAGGGGGCGCTATCATCGCAACGGTCTGAACTTGCGAGGATGGCGACTCCCGCAACCTTCGTTTTTCGAGCCTGAACTGAACTGTCCACCATCGCAGCGGCTACGATCTCGAGCCGGGGATGACATGCTCAGGGTTAGGGGCTCATATGCCGCTCAAATTGCAGCGCAGGAGTCAGCGAGGATAGAAGTTTTGATGACTAGCGGCAGCCGTTACAAGGCTGTGAAAGGTCCCAGTTCTTGTACTGTGAAGCCATGGCCCCGCTGCCTGGCTCCTGCTCGGCTCTGGACTCAGTACAGATTTCAGCATTTTGGAGGCATTCGTTTCATTAGATGCTTCAGAGTATGGCAGCTGCACTTGCTGGCCACGCCAGTCAAGAGTAGTATTTTCTACGGGAGGCCCCCTATGTCGGCACCGTCGGCACCCCGCACGAGGCCTTCCTGGAGTGATTGGAGCCAATTACACGGAGCCTATGCATGAAGGTGGCCCTTCCTTGTGGCATCTTCTAGAATCTAGACAAGATTCATGCTTGAGTCCAGTTGAGTGTCACATTCTAGAGAGCTCACGCACTTTCTTGTCCAGTACACCTGTACCGTGCCTGTACCCATCACAAATGAAGGCAGGGCTCCCAAGCCCTTAAAACCTCGATCCATTCTCTTGCAGCAGTTCTGCTGCACGCGTAAATGAAGATGCCCTCAGAAGATTCCCCGCATGAGCGAACCTGTATTCTGCACTCGAGTTTGACTTTGAAGAACTTGACCATCGAGCCCTCCATCTCTAAGCCTAGATGAACAGACGCTGAT